CCATACCATATACCATACCATATACCATACCACATACTATACCATATACCATACCATATATTATACCATATAATTATACACCTGTAATGCTATACCAATTACGCTGCATGAATTCAATGAATAAATTTATTTTCTTGTAGACAAATAGTTGCCCAGTATGTAGATATGAGTTGCCAACAGACAATGAAGAATATGAAGAATTAAAAAAGCTCAAGGTACATTGATACTGATGTAGAACTCTAGCAGATTTTCAGGCTTATATTTCCAAAATTTTTGACTAATTTTTCCTTCTTGCTCATTTAACTTTCCTTTTGGAAAATTTGTCCACACACATTTTTGTTAAAGTCTCCATTTTCTTTTCAGGGAAAAGAAGAAGGAAGACAACATCGAGTTCAAACCCTCCATGCTTCAATGTTTAGTTAATATGAAGACAAAAATCACAATCAGAAAGAGACTCCTGGGATACATGAAAAACATGTGTTTGTAAATGAAATATAAAATAATGTATAGATCTCTTTCCTTGTCCCCTCCCCCAAAACACTGCTACATAGGCTAATAATATTATTGATGTGTTGCTGGGGAAAATAAATTACATAGTAATAGCAATAGAACTTTTGTGAGTTTGCTTGAATGACCAATATCAATAGGTGATGTCAGCGCAAACTTTGCTATAGCTCAAAACAATGCATGTATTGAAACTAAACAAAGCACGAAAACTGAACATAGCAAAGGAGGTTGTTACACTAAGGTAAATCCTAACTTAGAGCCATTAATTGTTGGCTCTGGCACCTGGACACTTATATCATCCCACATGGGGTGGAATTAGAACCCTAAACATAGTTGCAGAAGAGACCCTCTGTCCCCACTAGTGAATAAATCTTCCATGATCAATTATTATATGTATTGATTTTATTTTTAGATGCTCTTTTTAAGTTTAATCTTTTCTTTTTTTATCAAGTATAATTTATCATTATTATCATTATTATACAGTGTTTTGAAAAGCTTCCTTCTTTATTCACTTGATTTTTAAATGGGTTTTCTTGATAATTCTTTATTTCAAGTTTGTTAGCTTCTCTTCAATATACTATAAGAGGCATAGCCTCCTTTGCAGACCTTTTTTGTGTCGGTCCCTTGTTTAAGTTAAGGACTTCAAAAATAAGATAGATGAAAAATAGTATCTTTAATCTTTGAGATAAATAAAAACTTGTCAATGCTTCCATCTGTTTGGTTTCGAATATTTCTATTTGCAATACAATTTCTTAATGTTTGTCATCAGATCCCAACTGTAATGTAACCTCTTTGCTGTAGGTAATTTAACATGTATACAAAAAAATTCAAATTCCCAGATCAGGGTACATGTCATATGATTACGTGGGAGGGGAGGGAGGACACCAAAGTAAGAGGGTAATTTTATATTTATACCTATTCATTAATACAGAGGTTTTGCACAATACAGCTTGGTCTGCTTTTGGTTAGATGGCAGAACAAATCCCTTTGCTCTTGGGAATCAAGTTCTTTCTCATGTAAAATGATTGTATTGTTTCTGCCATTTAACATGGCTGCCGAAGGTCATGTGACGTGCAAAACCAGTCTATTATGATATTTATATTACAAGGGCGGATCCAGGGTTTTTTTGAAGGGGGGTCTCAGGGGTAAATTTTGTGGGCAAAGGAATCCCAGTCGCATTTTTACCACAAAAGCCCATTTGACCTCATTAATGACAGGGGGGTCGCGACCCCCCGACCCACCCCCTGGATCCGCCCTTGTATCATATTATATATACTTGATTGCAGAAACGTTGTAGTATACATTTATACATTTATACGAATATCTAATGAGATGCATAATGCAAAATAACCATTTTCAGCGCTTAAAAACAACTGATTTATAATCTGTACGATCTAACAGACAAGAAAAAAATTATTTGACAGTCATCTAATGAAACAAACAATAAATAAAGCGATTTTTCTGTTTTGCATATCATTAAATATACTGAATAAATTAGATATTTGTATAAATGTATACTACAACTTTTCTGCAATCGAGTGTAACATTATACAATATTATTATATACTATGATATTTATACCTATCCATTAACATTCCACAATACTGGGGAGGGGGGAGAACAAGCAAAATTATAAACATGGCAGCCATATTACTGGGCAGGAAAATGCAATGTTTTTATTGAAAAGAGATTTTATTCCCCAAAGGAAAAAATCCCTTTGGTCTTTCCGGTGAAATTTTCGAGTTTCAAATGACTTCCGGTGTATTTGCCGCACTTATACATCCGGTCAGCGGTGGAGTTTTCCTCCTAATACCCATGCTCACAACGATTCAGAACGTTTGCCTTGGAGGAAAACCATGTGCGAAAGTATGAGCTGAAAATCCTCCGAAAAAACTGCTCTTTTTAGAGCGTTTATTTCCTTCTTTAGTCAAAGTAGTAGTACAGAACCCTAATGAAGACAATAATCCTTCAATTTCTAGCTTAAATGTCTGGGAAAAACTTTTGTGAACTTTGTGGTGAAGCCGGGTTGTCGAGCCGACTTGTGCCGTACCAAATGAATTCTGAGGAAGCTATCTTTATTTGCGAGAATTCTGAGGTAGTATTTTAAATGTTAGCCATATTATATGTATGTATAGGTATATAGATATATTTATAAGTATTTCTGTGTTATAATGTTTTGAATTCAATTTTGTTTTGTTTGCAGTGCGTTTTTCCACTTGGTACTCTTCACGTTGGAAACTTTGTGGTGTCCAGAAAAGCAACAGAAATCTCAAACATCAAGCGAAAAAGGAAGAAAATACCCTCAAAAAATAATCCAGAGGTAACGAAAAAAGCTAATCATGGAAACTCCTTATTCCTTATACATAACACAACGCTTTTGTGTTTAAAAAGTTAATATGTAACCTTACCATTGTTTGTTTCTTTGACAGCTAGTTTGTGCACTAAAACTTTTCCAAAAAATTATCATTTTTTTTTTTCTAGTCCCAGAAACTTCGAAGAACTAATTTAAGCTTGAATTTTTATTAGCTAGTTTCAATTATTCTACAGCTTATTTAACTTTCAGCCAAAATTAAATTGAGCAGCTCAGTGTAAAACATTTTTAAATTGGTTGGTTTTGGCCAAAACAAATAAGATGAGGGGGAAATAGGTGCTATATATTAAGAGATGATATATTTGAGTCCTAAAAATACAGGATACAGGATATTTGAGCTATATGTTAGAGGAATACAAGACATACTTTCAGAATATCAATGCATAGGGAATGGTTTCTTGAGGATATTTTTGTTCATTTACATAAAATAAAAATCTAAATCTAAAATTAGAAACACTTGGTCCAATTTAAAATGCTCTACACATCTGTTTAAGAGTGTGTCAAACTTTATCTAAAACCTAAGAAAAATCTTTGGCAGAATTTGTTATTTAAAATTTGATTCAGTTTTATATGCATCATATTGTTCCAACCATCTAGTCTGGTGTTTTTTAGACTTTAAACCAAGATACTGTATTTTAAGAAATACTTTGGATTTCATTTGGTTATGTACCCTATTCGACCTAAGTTGTCAAATTTGTTACTCTTGACAAGGTAAAACATGGCTAAGATTTTTTTGGAATGAATTATATATTGAAGTAATAATCATGTTTGAAAGAAGTTTGCCATCTGTTTTAAGTTTGTTTATAGGCTGAAGTGTTATAGAGTTTATAATTTGTTTACATCTTTTAAGAGATGGCCTTGGTTTTATGAAAAACTCTCAAAAATATCAACACTCTTAAATAATGAAATATATTGATAACGAACTAGGTAAAGAAATCTGCCCTTGCGAATTTCAAACATGAATGTCTAAGTTATCCCTAGAGCATTTGCACATTTAAGAAAAACTGTTTTAAGCCTCCTTAAAAGCAGGAAAGATTTGAATAGAATTATATATACTCTATGTAAGGTACATAATATAATTGATATATCTGGTTTTACAGTTTGAAAAAGGTATCTAAAATGTGCCACATATTAATTTTGTTATATACCAAAAACTTAATCATTCCAGAGTTTAACCTTGACTTATGAGCGATAAAAAAGTTTTCAGTTATCAACATAATTGACAAAATCACTATAAAATTAACCAAAAACATGAAACATCTTGTCCATTAATTGGCTAGATATTTTTGAGTAGTAATGGATTTTTGGTGAATAGCCAAATAAAAAACACAATGTTCCAATTATGTATGTTTAAATGGCTTCTAGTTTTTTAATGATGAACAAAAAAATGATTTCTATGTTTTTATATTATTGACAAGGCCTGTATAGCTAAAAAAAGTTCTACTCTTTTATATTAAGAAATATAATCTTTTGCGATGAACTTCACCTTCAATTTGCATATGTTTTATAATGGGCAATTTTTTCATTTCATCTTTGTATTCATTAACAAGTAAAAACTTCGAAGTCATACTGACTCCATTATCAAGGCTATAAGATAAAATTATGCTGGAAATTTTTGTATTCTGTCTATGAATGGCTAAGTTCTATTGTTTATAACATTGTATAATATATAAGAACATCCCTTTTACAAATTTCCTTCAGTTTGAGTTTCCTTCCTTTTATGAATGTCTAATGACAAACATTAATTCATAGACCAGATGTTTCCTAAGTTTTCTGTAGCTCTGAATTAACAAGATTTCAGCAACCCTCTCAGGGAATAGACCCCCCAAAAAGATATGATTGTTTTCATCGTTTGACAAAAGTCATAGGGCTCATAAGAACAAGTAAAACAAGATAAAGTGACTTGTTTTTGACATTTTAATTTGACTTTTTAATAAGCATACTTGATTTTCCAGCCATCTGGTTTAAGTTAAGTTGTTTTGCAGTATCTAGCAGTAATATGAATGACAAAAAAGATAATTGCACCTGTTTTAAAAACGTTTGTCAGAGCTAAAGGTGAAAGGTGACAAGCTATTCACAGATTGGCCTTTAGATTGAACCTGGTTACACGCTGTTACATTCAACAAAAAAATGTCATACAAATGTACAATTTTTTATTTTTTTAACTTTCTTGTATTCTCAGTAATATTTTCAGTGATGTTGGCTAACGTATCATATTACCATTTTATGCAAGCCTATTAATTAATGTCATCCTGACTTCTTCCATTTCAGAATTCGTCTCTCAAATCAACGAGTATTTCCACTCCAGAACATTTTATAAATTGGGAAAACGTCGACGCATTGTGTTGGCTACACTGTACGCTAAGCTTGATAGTACACAACAAGACTCTAAGAAATCTTGTCAGTACTATCCAAACTCCTAATTCCTTGCTTAAGTCCATTTTGGATTGCTATTTCAAAGCACAACAGCTTGCATTATCAGACTTGACAACGGCTAAGAAGATACTAGAAGATATAAGACAAAATGTATGGATGTATCTTGCTCCTAAGATGAAATGTTCACTTGGAGTGAATGACTCTCCTATTTTTGCTCTCCCTCTTCTACTAAACGACAATGGAGTTACCTTGGAGAAGTGCCTACAGGAGTATACCTGGGAATTTAGCTGTGACTTGTGTGGATTTGAGGAGAAAACTAGGTAAGTAGCATTAATCTGTAAAACAAAATCCTGAATGAATGGTGTGGATTAGATTTTGTTAAAACTGAACAGTTAAGGCTTAGAAAGACAAAAAAGTAGAACTTCTGCATAGTTGACTTGCAGTCACTTCTTGTGGACTAAACATTAAACATGTATGTAGTAAGTTATTCCTAGGTTGAGGAGAAAATTAGCATTGCAGTGCATATTGGGGGTCATTTGTGGGACAAAATAAATGTCATATTTGGGGAAATATCCCCTAAAACAGTCCCCGAATGCACTGCAATACCAACTCTTCCCAGTTTACTCCTCAACCTAGGAATGGCTAAAATTATATAGCTCATATATGATCTTCATTACATTTTTCTACATCCAAAAAAGAATGCATGCTGCCTTCTTTCCCTCAGTTGTGATATTTTCCAAACCTCCAATAGTACTATCGTATATTCCATGCTGTATTGCTGTATGTTTCAAAATCTTTCTTAGCAATTGAATTAGCTTCAAGGGCCTGTGCTTCACATGCAACAACATAAAACCTGTGAGACAATATCAGATTTTGTCATTTCATTTCAATATAGACTGTTTACACTGACTCGTCATGTGACCCTGCCCACCTTAAGTTGAACAGCTGTGTCAAAATGAACATTAGAAATGAAAAGAACACCTCGAAAAATTCCGGATACAATGCAGGCTTAAGTTGGTTGGAAAAACAAAATAATTTAAATCTCCTTAGAATTTGAAACCTATTATGTCCTCCAAAATATGCTGCATTCTGACGTACTGCAAGGGGTCTATATCAAAGTGCTCTGACTTTTCATTTTGGTTGTTCATTTGGATACAACTGCTTAGTAATAGGGGGGTGGGTAACATGATATGTTAGTAACAGTCGATTCTCATTCTTGCCGCCCTCCCCATTGCGCATTGCATGGCTTGCTATAACATTTCAAATAAATTGTTTCAGGTTCATTGCTTATAACCAGCATTTCAGTTCAAACTAGATGGCTAAAAATTGTAAGCTTGCTTACCTGTGAAGAGCATTAGGGAAATCTTTATATCAATCATTCAATATTTTTATCTCCAAATGATTTTTGTTTTTCTTTGACATGAGAATGACTTGCGACTTTGATTACATCAAAATTATGATGGCATGAACAATGTTACTTGGTGATTTTTGATGAATGGCAGCCAAAAACCTAGATGTTCGACATTAATTTGTAGGGGTCGGTTACAGATTTACGAGAGTCATTTGGTGATCTCTTTCACTTTCTTTTTTCTTAAAACCCAAAAACGATATTTGTTGTAGTCTGATGATTATTAGAAGTTATTCAATGAAAATCATTACTATCTTTGAAATGGACTAATTCGACAATGTGGTGGCCATCTTGGATTGCAAGGCATTATGGGACATCCTGGGGGCAAATAAAGCTTTGTTACAGTAAATGACTTCGATTGATATTAACAGCTCACCATGAGAGAATACAACAAAAGATGAATTAACACAGCTCATCAACCACCTTTACCCATAAAAGAAAGACAATCACACGAAACTTTATATATTTTCTGTTATTTTTTTATTTATTTTTTGCTCCCTGGCAAGATGGCCGCCATATCGTTGAAGTCATCCATTGATTTGTAGTTAGTGAACAAATTCAGCCAAGCAATAACCAAAATTATTACTTTCTCATTCCATTGTTTCTTGTTTTTCAGACAAAAGAAACATCTTGTTACATATCCAAACACGCCAGAGGACTTTGACTTTGAAAAGGCATCATTTCTACGCCCTTGTCCTAAATGCAAGTCTTCAGGCCAGAAGAGTACTATTGTTCATGAAGCGTAAGTAAACAATAGGGACCCCTATAGACCCCTTTCAAAATTATCTTGCATGCACAGCTAATGGGAAAATGCAAAATAAACGGCTCATATTCCAATAAGAAAAGGTTTGATCTTTTTTGTATTTTCGTGTTAGCCTCAAACACAATACAATAACTAAAACCAAAAACTAAAATCATGTGTAACATCCATACTGTACAGTTTTCAGCATATTGTTAAATATGCTGTTTTATGTATAAGTACTACACTTTTTGGCCACAGTAGAGTATTATTTTTTGTCTTGGTAACATTCATCCATTGGTTCTTACATTATTATTGTCATAATTTTCAGAATGCCAGATCTTGTGCTGATGCACTTTGTTGAAGGGCTGATGACAGAAGATTATTTAGATTCCAATTTTGTTTTGAACAAGAGTAGGTATCAGTTAACACAGTTCCTTCAGTACTCAAGAAATCCTGATCACTTTATTTGTTGGTGTAAAGAGAATGACGGTAAGTATATATACTAGTTTTACAATGTTTTTGGGTGCTATACCATGGATATACCACAAGGCACTTGTATTTCCTAGTATAATTTGATGGTTTTCACCCATAGCTTAAAACCAGGATTCTATGGCATTGCTTATTAAATCCATCAACATGAGTAATAAACTACATTAAGTTTTTGTTTGCTAATTATTGTATTTTTCTTGTAGGGACGAGATGGTTAGAACTAGATGACCTAAAAACTTCAGTATGTTCATGGTCAAGTTCTACTCCCAAGGTACCACCCTCAGAAGTTCACGTTGTGGTGTTTGAAAAAATCACTTCAGAGTCGTGTGAAAACAAAATCAACTCAAAAGAATATAAATCGGAAAAGGTGATTGATGACATAAATAGGGTACTTGTGTCACCGACAGAAATATTGAGGAACACAGAAATATCTTTTTCAAAGGCTGAGGTCTGTTTTTCAAAGGTTAATGATGAAGAGAGTATTTCTTGTCACATGGATGCATTGGAGGTCATAGAAGATGTTGAAGAAAAGGAAATCACTTCTAAAGAAAAGAATCTAGAATCAAAAATTATTGCATCTGAAGAAATAGTATCGAATGAGAGTTTGAGCTCTGCATCAGTATCTGGAAAACATGATGGTGATCTTCCTGGAAGATCTCCTTTAAAAGATTGTTCAAATATACCAGATAATTGGTCATCACATGGAAAGACTGTTGCTACATCAATTATGGCACTTCCATCACAGACTTCTTTACGACCAGAAAAGACATCATTAATAAATAGAAATAGCCCTTCAGTGATTTCACCTTCACTTACTTCGAGTAATTTGGAGAACTCCTTAATCAAAGCTACTGTTGTTACACCAAATTTGGCACTTCCAACACAGACTTCTTCTCAAGGTGTAAAAACACCATTAACACATAGAAATACCCCTCCAGTGCTTTCACCTTCACTTACTTCGAGTAATTTGGAGAACTCCTTAATCAAAGCTACTGTTACTACACCAAATATGGCCCTTCCAACACAGACTTCTTCTCAACCCGAAAACACATCCTTAATGAATAGAAAAACCCCTCCAGTGGTTTCATCTTCACTTACTTCAACCAAACTGGAGAACTCATTAATCAAAGTTACTCTCAAAAAATACTCTTTAAGTAAAAAGTTTCAGCCATCACTCAATAACAAACGTCGAACATTGTCTTCCCAGTTTCAGCCATATGTTCCTAAAAAACAGCGAATTGAACCACAGATTGTTAATAACAAACCTACTTTATTGGATTTTGATAGCCATAGTGACAGTGGCTACTCGAGTCCTAGCTCTGTCAGTTCCTGCGGGAGTGGGTCAAGTACTACGAGTATGGAAACTGAACAGAAAATGAGTGTTACTGATGATATAGAGAAGATGGAGATAGATGATTCCAATCATGAAAATATCGCCGAAGAACTTGAGAAGCTTTTGCCAGACTGTCTTCTTGAAGATCGCAGGAAAAGAAGTACATCAGCAGTAGATGATGAGGAACAAATCATCCATAGTGAAACGATGAAATTGGAGGGCATCTCTCAAGAGCAGGACGACTTTATTCGCAATTTGCTCTTTGATGATTAAGCTGTTATGTTGCATTGGGCTGTGATAGGAGGGATTTCAGTTGCAGTAATTTTACTTGCCCTTTTTACTTGAAAAAATAGTAGTGTATATTGCCATATATCTTTGAAAAAGTTAACTAACAAAATTGTAGAAATTAGTGCAAAGTTTTTTTAGGTCCACTGAGATCTACTGAACTTACTATTAAGTTGTGCAAATTTCTTCTATTTCTAACAAAGTTTTTCACGAACATATAGTATGCACTTTAAGCATATTATATTGTAGTAGACACTATAAGACCTTTATGAAATTTGCTTGAGTGAGGAATGTCAAAACAATTGCTCCAAGTTGAGGCTCGACTTGATGTGTTCTTACATTTACTGAAGAAATACTATTCCCAGTGGACCGAGGTAATTGTGATTTTTTAATCGCCCTTGTAGCGTCTGTTATGTTATCCACAAGTACATTTCAAATCGACCACGTGATGCCAATGTTGTACCACGAGGACAAGTTTTTTACACCACGTGATCAAAATTCAGTCAAGTTTTAATGCACGCGCCTGCTGTGTGCAGTTATAAAGCATGTGAGGATTGGCAGAACACAAGAGAAGTGTTAGGAGAAGCACGGCGTGTGGCGGAATGCTTCTGGACCCTTTTTGAGTGTTCTGTCAATTCCCAAGTGCTTTATAACTCCAAACAGGACAGCAAGCAATTTTTTTTATTTCTTTCATGAAATACAAATTACAATAACCGTTATTTTGGAAAAAAATGATGCAACTAAAAGTGTGTGCGTGTGCTGTATGCTCTCCTAAAGCACTCGTCCTCAACCAATCAGAACGTGAGATTCATAATAGTTATTTTATAATGCATTTTATTGAGCCAAAACTTAACTTGGAGCCATTGTTTCCTATTTTTTTCTTCTCCTTTACTTTGATCATACATCATACCGGCTTTGTTTCACAATCCAACTAAAAAATCTCACAGGTGCAAGAATTAAACAACAACTAGATTGAAGGCATTTAACCCGTGTAATAAATAGAGGATATTATATGGGTGCGAGGAGATACGAAATTCATCTTCGAGTGATGAAAAGATCTCTCACGAGTGAGTGCAGCGAACAAGTGAGAGATTTTCAACACGAGAAGATAAATTTCATATCTCCAAGCGCCCATGTTATTTTCTGTTTATTAAATAATTATCCATAAAATCAACTTAACAAGCTTTTTATTGTCATAAAAAGTTTTTATTTATAAACTAATAGCTTAAATGCACATGGTAAGGATATTTTCACATGTGAAAATATCAGTTTTTCGAAAAGGAGAAATATAGGTATTTTATGGATGATTATATGATAAATACTATTTCACAGGTTTAATGACTCCACTCTTTTACTCACTGACCATCGATTTTGTTTCATGGGTTACTGTAAGTGAAATCACTCTACTAATGTATAAATTATATCAATGGAATATTTCATAGTTTTATTGACATTTACTCTCATTATTGATGAGAATCATAATGCATCAGTCTTAAGCTGTACGTAATTGTACTTATATTTTGTAAAATAGCTATAGAAATGACAACATGTATTATAATATAATCTATATTGTGTGGTTTACACCATAATAAAAGCTTTGTCACATACATATATATATTTGTTTAAATTGTCCAGAACATCCTAATTCAATAGATACTATACATTACGCAGAACAACTAAAGAGATAAATTACTGGGTTCAAGATAGTTGTATCCTTATAATAATAGAGCAAGAAATAACCGGGAGAAAGGTAACTTAATCTAAACCAAAAATATCCCCATACATTTTCTCTTGGTGTTGGTTCTAACGTGATTGGGAACAGCAGAAAAATAAAAGTAAATGTTTGGGAAATTTTCGGAGCTTACACTCGGTATTTCTACAGCTAATTAATACAAAAATATTGACAATTTATTATATGTTTTCTTAAAAATATTATCAGTGGTATTTCAAAATTGAAGATTAATGTTTATTCGATGACGTCACACTCCAAAGCTCCAAAATGTTTCCTGAAACTAGTGTGCCTAAGGTTCTCCATTATGCAAACAATGATCAAGTACCGCTCTTCATAAAAAAGTCGTCTCTTTAAAACCTTGAGAAAGCCTTACGACCCAACAACCTTGAATTTTTTCCAGATCGTCTTTAGCAGCAGATTTCGATTCGCAGTTGAACTGCCCGTACTCGGGCCTATTGTGATAAGTGATGATTTTTTCAAATCCTTCAAAGGATTAAACAATATGAAATAAAGAGCTACATCATCTCCAAGGAGGTGGTGAGGGCTTGGCTTTCACAGGTGTTTGCGAGCTTTGAGGTCGAGAAGAACAAATCGAACTTTGAGGTCGATAACTATTACATACTTCACCATCAAAACTCAGTTCCTTCTTTGCCATTGAGGTGAAAAACTTCTCTGTTTGTAAGCTGTGTAACTGGTCTTTTTTCTTCTCCCCAAACAACGTATTGTCTACCACAGTAGGGGAGAATTTTACAGGTTTATATTTTCTATCCGACGATCGTGACGACGTACATCTGGAACTTGGACGAGAAGAAGCTGATGAAGATGGACGAGAAGAGAACGGAGAACTAGTCGTTGGACAGTAGAATAACAACGGCTTGGGAGGAGATTTAAGTTTAGTTTTCCCAGTATCAACCCAAGGTGGCTCGAACTCTGGGATCGGATCAGGTTCTCGTGTTTTTCTGAGCTCACCAAATAATGACTCGTCTACCGATGAAGGAGTGAATTTCGTTCGCTTGAAACGACCTCTGGAGGCGTAAGCACTGTTATCAAATGACATTTTATCTTCTGGGTACGTAAAGAAGCTCTTTAGTTCATCTGAATAAGCTTTGTCTTCTACTTAACGCTTTCATTGAGAAACAGACGTGTTATTCAAAATCACCTTTCTAAGCGTTTCAAACAATATTGGCCGCCATCTTGAATGTTGTCATGGAAACTAATATAATACGCTAAAAGGAAAAGGAGGCGAGGTTCGAGACTGACGTCATAGAAGGAACAAACACATGTACACATTCGGTGACTTGGACACTAAAATTTTCTATTCTGTTGAGCAGCCAGGATAACGGTTGGCAAAACGCTTATCTTCCAATCTTTAGCTACGATGTTTATTTTCATTCAGTCCTGAATCCGAGGTCTTTTCTAAATCTTCTGATATAGTTGAAATTAGTAAGAACTTTGAAATTAGGCTGTACGGACATGCAGTTCCATGTTCAACAGCGTTATTGTTTTCTTTTATCACAGGTAAAAATGCTATGCATATTCTAACGCCGGTGTAATGGTTTAACATCGTTTAATTGAAATTTAGTAATTTTATTCAATAAGCAACAGGTGATACACTGAGCAATAATTATTCGTGAAAAAAACGGGTAATTGTTCAGACTCAAAAAAAGTCTCATGTTTTCTCGCTCCGCAAAAATACGATTCTTTCTAGATTCTTCAAATGTTTGGGGGGGGGGGGGCACGATGTTCTCACCACATGCACGATCATATTCAAATGGTGACTTAATTAACAGCTCTGACCATTGCGAGGACAGCTAATATGGTTCTAATAAATCATCATTGTTTTACGAGGGTAGATCTTGATAGAAAATCCTTAGGGGCTAACAAATCTTACGGAAGGAGAAAAAACAACAGAAAACCCAGAAAAAAAACCCTCGAAGCACAGGATAAAGTGAGCCAAAAAGCAACTCAAATGTGATGACAAGTTTTGGGACCAAACCCATAACCACAGAGCGATGAGATGTGGGGCATCATCAGGGCACACCACCCCACGTGCTTCGCAACAGACTCACCAAAACTTCAAACAACACCAAAATTTTGAAAACAAAACTTTTAATCAACATGTATTATGGATACTATATTCTCATTTCCAGAGCCTGCGCTTTTGCCTTCCGCTGGCTGGTAAAAGCGCAGGCTCTGTGAAGGTGAATGGTTATATATACTCGCTATACTCGTTCACTCCAAAACCAATTAAGAATATAAATAATCTAATGATTAATTTCCATATCACAAGGTTCACTTTAAATATAAAAATTACAAAATATCTTATCAAAATATCTTATCAAAATTGCAAAGTATCCTATTAAAAAATGAAATACTAGAATTCAGAAACTCTAACTAATGCGAAATCAAGCTATCCTGAAGAAACCATCCTCATTTATATTTATAGATAGTTGCTTTCTTCTCCTTCGGATAAGAGCTCACTGGTAGCGCCAGTTTTATCAACGTCTGCGGAAAAAAATAAATCGAAAAAGTTATTCAGATTTTAATGTATAAAAAGAAAAGTAATTAAGGTGCTAGAACGAATGCAGTAAAACCATAAAATAAAAACAACATTGATACTGACAAGTAGTAGTTATTTAGTGACTGATAGTAAGTATCACTCAACCAAAATATTCTTTACACTAAAGACACAAATGGTCTCTTGTGTAGTGAATGTTCTGGTTTGGTGCTAGCAACTATTAGTCGCTAAACAAATACTATTTCTCAGTATCAACTTTGTTTTTCTTTCATGGTTTTACTGCATGCGCTCTAGTGTGCAAATCTTGAGCAAAAGATCGGTTGTTTTGTTTTGGCGATTCTCCATGTCGAAAACAAAGCATGCAGTGATCAAGAGGCATAGGATAAAATGCGCGCGCAATCCAATCAATCGATCGATCAATGTTCCAATCCCTTCTATGACCAAGGCACCTCGCGGTGAATGAGCTATTGAATGGAAGCGAATTTTCTCATTCGTATCTATCAGGTTACTTATTACTTACTTAGGTGTCAGGGAAGGAGAATGGAAGACAACGTAAATGAGATAGCATGCGTAGCGGCCCCGTCTATGAGGAAAGGAGAGAAAAAGAAAGGAAAGGAGGACTGGCGAGGGAAAAGGGGATGGGAACTCGCTATTCCTCTTTTTTCTTTCCTCTCCCCTTCTCAAAGAACAACGAAATAAAAAAATGAAGAGAAGAAATTGTACCTGCGTCCTCATCTTTTTCCTCGTTTCGTGGTGAATCAGCTGATTCTGAAATTTGTTCTTCTTGTTTGCTCGTTTTTTCATCCTCAGATGTATCTGAAATATGAAAATATTTATTATCTAACGAATTTTGTACAACTTACAAAATCATTGATGAATCCAGTGCATAAGTCGATGCTGTTATTCAATAAATTTATTCACTAGATAAGATCTATCCGTTGGATAGCGCTATCCAGGCTTCGCACAACCGGTCCCTGGACTCCAAGCAAAACATGAAACCTAACAAGTTTTTTAAATCAAATCTTTCACGGCAATCAATACCTTTTGGTGTCTTAAGGAGTACCACTTCGTACCGTCCAGACATCGTATCAGGTGAACTAGTCTCTGTATCGCTCTCATCTGGTAACCTACGTACAGCTTCTTCGTCTTCTTCTTTTTGTTCTCTACCCCTTTCTTGTTTGTCATGTCGGTATGCTGCATCTGAATGAGGGTTCGTTGTCCAACCTTTGACTACGTGACGGTGAATATGAGATACCTCCTCACATGGGGTGGCAGGGGAGCCTTGTTGTCTGCCCGCACGTGGAATGCGCTACAAAATTCAGAGAAGTCTTGCAATCAAAAATTATGTGAATGAAAGTAAGTTGGTGTATGGAAATATCTTTTGGATATTAACAAGTTGCATGTTAGTTCCCTAGAACGACACATTACTCATGCGAGGTGGATCCCCTTTTTAGGCAAAGAAGTGCTATTTTTTGCGGAAGAAGGAGGGAAAATAAGAGAACCTACGAAATCAACGAACCATTCAATTTGCGTACATGTGAACACGAATCTGAGATTAAAATCGAGAAGAACTCGAATCGGAGCTTGATCAGAAGCGACGCATTAGCAACACGCGTTACGCACACGCTTCTTTTGTTTAAGATGCGGCAACAAAATAGATAATAATGCGTGCATTGCAAGTTACAGAGCTAATATTGTTCGTATTAGCACTCCACGTGCAACAAATTTGCATTATTGCAAGGAGTTTTTACGTCGCGCAACAGTACAAACTTGTTGCGCGCCGAGTGGTGATACAAGCAACAGTCGCTCTGCAACTTTCAACGCAACAATGCTGCACCTTTAGATAAATGCGCAGCCCCGAGAAAGACATTTTCCGGCCCCTTCCCTTCCCCTCCCTCCCTCCCTCCCCCAGCTACTTCCTTATTTACCAGATCTTGTCTCTTGATGAACTTCGAGTATCGTATATATTCCCTCCACTCTTTCTTTCTCTCATGTTCCTTCAAGTCCTTGTTCTGAATTCTACGGTTAAAGTCATAATCAAGCAAACTTTGATACTGTCTCTGTTTCAACTGTATCATATTAGACACAGAATAAATCCGTGCAATTCCCCAGATGTACTGCTTTTGACCAATCGATAAATCCTCGTGAGTTAAAAATTCATTCCCCTTCACGAACTTCGGTAGCGTTACGACTGTGCCGTCGAATCGTCTCGGGCTCGTAGGTTGTTTGTTCGTGAGGTCTTCGGTTATTCCACACGAGTGAACATGACTTGCTGGGCGGTTGTGCTTGGCAGCTCGTCGCAGGTTATCGTTCATGTACATGTGAGGAGGCTGACATGACTGGCTTCTAGAATTATAGGTAGCACTTTGGGTGCTCCGGGACGAGCCTAAAAAAAAAGAGTTACCAAGGATTTAGTATTCTATTTATAATATGCACGAGAAGCGCAGCAATAAGCCTCATCTCTCTAACACAATCTGCAAGAAAGCGCGCACAATGAATGTCGTTCTTTTCGAGGTAGGGGTATAAAGTAGTACCCCTTGAATATGCAGTGTTTCTTTATAATTTGAGAAAAATCTGAATAAAAAATGACTATCAAGTATAGGATAAATATTGGTGCAAGTGCACATGGCTAACTTTGTAAGTATGCATGCTTGCAGCAAACACGACATACATAGAACGACACCCAGTGATCTCACTGACGCTTGCATTGACTTCTCTCATCCCTCAAAACAGCGCACTGTTTAGAAGTATATTGCGCACCGTCAGCTTAATTCCACGGACAGCATTTGAATTTCAACTGAAGGAACTATTTCGTGCTTAACGAACCTGGTCTGACGGCTGGTGCTGGGGGCTTCTCTAGAACAAGACCAGTACGAGGAACAGTGCCTTCAAGACTAAAACGACAAAGAAAGAAAGCAAATTATTGAAAAACAATAAAGGAAAATAAAAGATTCTGAACTCAAGGACTCGCCCTCCTTAGGACAAACTGATATTCTGGCAGTAACTTGATGATACTGGACAATATCTTCTAGAACCCTGAATCAACCGGTGCCTCTCGGAGTCGATCAAAGTCAGGGCAAGTTTAACTCAGATGTCTTATTGGAATTTAGCGTGTTAGGTTTTGTGGAGAAATAAAAACCAGAAAACCCAGAGAAAAACACTCCAAGGTAAAAGACCTAACAAACTCTACTCACATTAGATGCCGAGTCCTAGAATTGAACACCGTAATCCCAGAGGTGAGAGGCAAGTGACCAACTATTTGTCTTTACAGAGTTGCAGAACACGTCGCATCATGGGACTGTCTTAGGGGACTCTTTAGTGCTTATTTGGCTCATATTTCACTTGCTGACAGTGAAAAGGGATAGGAAACCTTAAGTTCGTGTTAATTATCAAATATCTTTCGTTTTTTGAAGCATAAAATGTCAGCCCCATAATGAACGCATTTCCACAACTCTTAAAAAGGCTAATTGTTTTCGTGGGTGCTTAAATTAACCTATTTTTTATATACCTTGTTTGTGTCCCCGTGGACCTCATAGATGAGGCTGACATAGCCCTTCCATTGTTCTTCGGCGTTGAAGTACCTGGTCGGCTTTGTGAAGGGGGTACTGGTGAAATGGTCCTTCCTTTGGTAGGGGTTGACGTATGCCTTGGAGATAAGGACCCTCTGAGAGAGGACGAGGTTCCTGGCCGAGACTGGTACTGCAATTGAATTTATAAAATATATACCAAGCTGCTGATTGAATAGGATGTTCGTGTAATATAACCACTTGAAATTATAGTTGTGTAGGAGAGACTTAAGAATGTCGGAAATAAAATAGGGTGTTTTAAACAAAGTTGGTTATACTAATTATATATCCCTATTTTCTCACCCATACCCCCTCCCCTCCCCCCTCAGATAAAAAGTTACTTTGTGCATGCGTTGCAAAGAGACAAACTAAACGTATATTACGAGAATAAAAAAATCAAGTTACTATTTCAAATGAAAGAAGAGAGACACGGGATATATTAGAATGCAAACCTTGGCTTATAGTTATTCCATAGCGACTTTGTGTGAAAGCCGCCGTAATCCTCTAGACACAGTATGCCATACAATTCTTTGACAATACCATTAGCTGAATACCCATAAGAATGCGATATCATCTCAAAATCTAATTAAAACGAATACTAAAAATGTCGAATAGACATCCCTTTACGCGGCTGGCTCAGTTTGTAGATTATAAGGCAAAGTTACAAAAGCAAACTTATCGATTTTTCTTGTTTTTGAAGGTTTTAACAATTAGTTCATCGGTCGTTCTCTGAACCTCGGCTTAGTTTGGCACTTTTAGTATCGTACATGTTGAGCAAAAAAACAAATAAGAGAAGAAAGAATAAACATAGCGTTAAGATGTGTGATTTCAATCTTTTTTTAGAATGAGGATATCAGAAGCCAAAAACATCTAAACTAAACATCAAATTAAAACTCCGTTTTCTTTTAAAGAATTTGAAACTGCGAGGACAAGATACCAGTGAATATTCTTTCCTCATTGCTAACTATGTCGAATCGAAAGAAAATCGAAAACATTATATGTGACAGAATCTGTGCCAGGTTTTAAAAATTTGTTAAATTGTCAAGTTTTGATGTTGACACATATTACTAATGGCTTGAGTTCAAATAGCGTTCACTTTATTAAACCTAAAGTCTTTTACATGAATATAAAAAAATACAATATAACATTAGGTATTTTAAAAAGATAGCTTTTAAAAAAAATTTTTTAGAGCTAATTACAAAAAAAACCTTCAGAAATCACATTTTAGGAATTTTAATAGAAAATGCTTACAAAACATGTGCTGGTTTGAAAAAACTAATTTCCTCCACGATATGAATTTTAAACTAAATTTAACAAAAAAATATAACTGAACTTACCCCTAATGCAGTTTCAACAAGCTGACGAACCTCAACATTAGGACAGTTCCAAAGCTTTATTTCCTTCCTAACGTCCATGATTTTTCTTGGTTCGACTTTGTACATTATAGCGCGATCTTTTCGGACAATATTCACGTCTAAACGAGGGTCTTTTTCTCGGATGATACATTTTACAGGCGAAAACAACGGATCCATCTTATACCTATATACTTCTGAAAAATCGAATGTAAATCTTTGAGTTGGCTTGATATAGAGCTTGTATGAACTGGAAGAGAAGGCTCGAATGCAAAGATTTTGTGGGTTTCGTACACGAGTTACTCCGCAATATTTGCGACCCAAATTCCTTAATTTTGCTTTGTCTGCCAAACAATGACATTTGAAGGGTTGCCTAACAGTTACTAAGCAACGGTAGTGTTTCGTCTGCTTGGCATAGCAGTGTAAATTACAGTAATCTTTAATATAAACACGATAATGAAAATACTTTTACACTGTAAGGTGTAATGCTCTAAACAAATATCAACTCTTCATAAAGTTTTTTTTGCAACTGTTTTTTTGCAGGATTTAAATTGAAGTTTGTTCGTGTATAGATTCAAAGGAGGTTATGTATATTGCATATTCACTTAATCAACACTAAATCACAACAGCATCTCAAAGTAATTATCTTGCCTAGTAATCCTATGTACATTGTCAAAGAGGATTAGTTTTGTTATGTACTGAGATTCATTACTGGATCAAAACTTTCCATGCGTTATAAATAAAAAACGCTGTAGAATTCACATTTCTCTGACAACATATCTCAGTAGTGTAGCGAGGGGGGGGGGCACGGGGGGACACGTGCCCCCCCCCCCCCAAATTTTTAAACAACTTTTTCGAAAAAAACAAAAAAACAAAAACAAAACATATTAAACCAAAACGAAAGAGGAAAATAGATTATTGCAACCTAGGAAAGTGCGCTGTATAAATCAGTTTATACCAATACAAATTTGTTTCTTTTTTGTTTGCGCGTTTATTCGTTTATTTGTTTTATGGGGGGAGGAGTAATTTTTTTTTTTTGGGTCAGTGCCCCGCCAGCTCCTAGGTCCTCGCTACACCCCTGACATATCTTATGATGAAAATATGTTGAACGGAATACTATACTATACTAACTATACCCAGTGAAGGAACATGCGGAAAATGGTTCCATTTTTACCAATTGGTTGAAGATAGTATTACATTATGGGAAAGTTACTCAGGGGCCAAGGAGTACCTAAAAAGTGGGGGTGGGGGGGGGGGTGGGGGAGAGGGTAAGATTGGAAAAGATATGAGACTAGTATAGGAAAAGGAAAAATAGGTGGGAGGCTGTAGACTTCCCTGCCCAACCCCCTTTGTGGCCCCTGTTACTAAATAAAGTATGGTGAGGATGAAGGATTACAGTGTAAGAAAGTACGACTTACTAATGTGTATATGGTAGCGGCATAATATCATAAATTTATGGCAAAGAATAGTGCTCTCTATTTGAGGGGGAGGTAATGCCCGGGTATCACAGAATAGGGGTTGATTAATGATTAAAGTTCAAAACTTTTATAGTTGGGTTATACAACGGAGACTGTTCATTTTCTAATGGCAGGGAGGTTGGGATTTGAGGGGGGCGGGGGGTCATTAAAAAAAGTACACAGCAATTTTGCAACATAAAGAATGGAAAACAAGGGAGGGGCCATTTTTTATGCAACAATATAGATAGTCAGATTTCTTGTATGAGTTACCAAGGCAATCCCCCTATCCACTCCACAACTCCACAATAAAAAATGAGCTACGTTAAAAGGATGCTATGTAATGCCTTTCTAGGTAACAGCCATCCCCCACCCCCCTTAAAATAGCTTTGGATCCATCACTGTTATATATTCATGCTAAAAATTTAGTCCTCCAAATATCATTTTGTTTATTTGAAACTTTGCCTGCAAGCTGGTGCTGCACATCAGGACACAGGGTCCCCTTTGAGGTCCATTGCACCAATTTCCAATCCCGTAAAATTCCCATACCAATCCCACAATCAACCCTTTTAAGAAATCATTAGTAATTTAGGCCAGACAGTGAGGGTTGTCACTGCCAGGGTTTCTTTACATCCTCTATGGTTCTTATATATCCCTCCAACAAACTGGACTATATCAGGAAACCTTCTGCAAGGGATCTAATTATAACTCGTTCCTCCACAGATCCCATCTCATCCCGATCAACCATCCATTCTTTTTGCATCCTATATTTAGCATTTCAATTGTCCTACCTTGAGCAGAGAGTCATTGTTTATTGTCGGCTGTATTCGAATAATCTTGATTCCTGTAGGAGTCATCACGACTCTTTTCCACTTTTCATCAATATCTTGTCGCACAAGTTCATGTTTCAGGGATGTCCTAAAATAATTAATGGTACAAATCAATAAAAGGAAAAGTAAAGTCGAGACTTTAAGTAATAGTGGGCAATTAATTAAGTTATCTAGGTAAAGAAAATTTTCTCGTAGAATATTAAATATCAACACAGACTAAGTTAAGCCTGCAACAGTACATTAAACCTCTTGGTTGCTATTTATTTAGTCTGGTTCGTATGCTAAAATGAACGCGTATTTAGAGTAAGGTTTATTGAAGTCAAATCAAGAATTAATCGTTGTCAAAATATTGCCATTTTTGGACGACCAGAAACTTCGTCAAAATCTATTGGGAGACACTGAAGGTCTGTTAGCTCTTTCGAGAGTGACTTGATTTTTTATTAAATTTATGCGTGCTATAATATAAGAATCAATAGGACTGTCAGCTTGCAGAGAATAGACAAAAGGAATACACATGGCGTTGGTAGTAAAGGAAAATACAATGTGAAACAACTAAGTGTTAGAGTAATAGTCACTTTAGGACTCTACAATTGCTAAAGATTGGTGAAATAAATTATACTGTATCCGAATTACGAGTCGATGTCTGATACAAGCACAGTTGTATTTGAACATCTCTTGAATTCAAGAGTAATACTTTTACCAAATAAAACTCAAATTTACCCGACACTTCAGAAATTTTTATACACCAGTAAATCACTAAGTTCCTAAAGTGTCAAGAAACATTGAAAAGTTGTTGAACAAGATCTAAGAATTTAAAAGGTGTTATAAAGTTGTTAGGCTTTACTAATATTAAATTAAGTTTATAAAAGTTGATTAACACAGAAATAAGAACGTAAATAATGGAAGCGTTACCTTGACTTTGGTCTAGTGTGTGATTCAGGCATCTCGCTTGCTCTTGTTGTTCAAGTCTTCTTCGACAATAAGAAAAAGATTATCCAACGATCTTCGTGTTCTACCCTACGATATTTTCGTTCTAATTCATTTAATACGTGGATAGTTATCAATAACAGCAGTAGATCTCGGTTGTCGTGGTCCTAAGCTGCTAAACAATTACTGTCTCCAGGGTAATTTGGATTAATTGCGAAACATAATTGTAGTAAATGCATGGTATTGTCTGGGGAACGCTTGGCTCTGATTGGTCAGTCAACAGTGACAGTATTCAAGACAGACAGACAGACCAAATACAAGACGGCTAGAGGAAGATATAAGTTAGCTAAAAACTAGTGTGAGCTGAGATGCGTCGGTGTGTACAGTTCTTCAATCAGTAGCAATACGGGGGGAAAGGAAATGGCATTAAGTTTAACGTTTTTATTTCGCAAAACGTAGAAAAATATATTTAAATTATCGTATAAGTTCTAAAAAGCCTCCATTCTGTTGCCACGAAGGGGGACATGCCTCTCCCTCCCCCCCCCCCACGCCCTTGATGACCATAAAATAAAAACAGGCATTCAAATTGTTATTTTATTTGCAGCGTTGCGCCCAATATTGCACGGTGTATCCGAGCCTGAAGTCTGTTGCATGCAGAAAGTGAAACGTTCTTATACCCGTTTGCAACTAAAACATTTCCTGATGCTGAGCGTATTGCTACTCCATGGCCAAAGCAAGCTTGTGTCGTGTCGCAGGGAGAAGCCGCAACATGGATATGATAACACTGGGTTTTATAGTCAGGAAGGCGGTTTAGTCGGTTCACCAAAGTATTTTCCAACACAGCCAGTAATGTAGGGCCGTAGGGAGACGGAGTCTAAGGGTCATACTGATAGGTAGAGTAATGGTGGAGTATTGATGGTTTTCAACCATTTCCAAGAGAACTATAAATAACAAAAGACGCGGCGGGCATGTTGGAGGATATAACAAAAGAATTCATTGACAATACTTCATACTTACATACATTGACAGTTCCTTCAACATGGCCGCCGTGAAAACCATCAATAGTGATTACGGTATTATATGGTGCCCTTTCAGGCAGTTGATGATTATTTTTCAAGGGCGACCGCGGTGTTTTCACTCTTTTGTCGACTAATCTTGATACATATCTCTCATCTCACCTACGCGCTTGAGGGACCACTACCCACAATGGAGCGAAAGCTACGAGTTATGAAATCAACCTAGGGCCGAGACCGGGTTTCTAGTAAGTAAAATCTCGTAACCAGAACCCTTATTTCGTGGCTAACGCGTCGTCTTTCATCGCCGTGAGTCCAACATGTGAATTGAGTTTGTTTGATGTGTTGTTCTCTCCTATGCTACGAGGGTTTTCTCCGGGTTCTCCGGTTTCCTCCCTCCGTAAAAATCAACATGTGACTTGAGCGTTGTGTGAATAGAACATTAAGAGTAGTGGTAGTGCGTGTGAGCGAAAAGTTTCCCCTATTAGTGCGAAAGCGCTAGAACGACTAGACACTTAAATAAAAGTGATTTATTTTATTTCATTTTGAGTACGAGAAAAAGATCGACCAGTTTCGCATTCAATGCATACCGCTTCTTTGAAGAGCACTGCTCATTGCACAGATTTAGCCTCGTTTATAAGTCAGCTATTCACATATACCATAAGAGTCCGGGAGATTTCAAAACATTAGTATTGTTCAACTTGCACATTCTTTACATTACAGTTGACTTTTGCAAATGATTTGCTCTTAAACAAGGCTGAGCTTGTGCAGGCGAGTCTTCAGTCATATAACACAGCGGTATTTACCAAATGAGAAAAGGACTATTGATAATAAATATTCAATCTTCGTTCACTGTACAAAATCCAAGTGCGCGATTGGCTAAAATCGATCACGTGATGAAATTTCTCGTTCATTGTACAGTCAGCTCGTGAATGTATTCGTAAGCAAAACACTCACATCAATCTCGAGCCCCTAAGTAACATATTATGTTTTATTGTGACTGGCTATGATAATGACCCTTATGTTGCTAGTGGGTGTGGGTTCACTGGTTTGAGTTGAGTGTAGAATGGTTGTTGTATAAATGACAGAAATTTCACATGAGTGGAAATGAAAGGAGAGGAGAGGAGAGGAGAGGAGAGGAGAGGAGAGGAGAGGAGAGGAGGTAAAAAGATGCTAGATATACATGTTGGAGACTTGAGACGTGCATGAGTGCCGCTTGTAATGAGTCAATCCTTGAATTCCCATCACCACACTATTGATTAAATGAATACTTCACATCTATTTATATTTTCATTTGCATTACAGATTGCTTCGCCACGATTAACAGCCAAAAACTCTCCGAATTATGAGACAGCTTTTATACCCAAATGGTAAACTAAACCGTGACGTGTCTTGAGAATAGTATCATTAGATTGTGTCTTGAGAAATAATCATGGCACATGGTACAAGTAGGCTATAGTTTCACACCCCTTATCGGTTACACTTACCTTAATTTCAAGAGATATAAATAATGAATCCAAGATTAAGATCACAGTTTTGATGAAATAGAGCGAAGCTTGTTCGTGGAAAAAAAATTCGATATCTGATAAACAAAGTAATTTTTTGAAAGTCATTTCATCTTTTTATGAAAAAAAAAAAAAAAAAGGCATTGAGATCGTGTTAGTCTTGCTGTAACTGTCCCCCCAAAAATATCGGTTCATTAACATCGGTCTTTAGCAGTTTTCGCTAAATGGCTCGATCATTATTGGCATATAGGTTAATGGCTTTTTAAAAAGCTGCCCAAGGCTGTGAGACAGTCAGACACAAAAATAAGCCATTGAAAAATAAAACAACAAAGCTCACGCCTTTCCGATACAAGGTTTGGAAATGTGGAAAGATTTAAAAGAGATAAATAAATTTCATAAGTACTTGCTGCATGGTGGAATCGAAAATTATTGGAGTTTTGAGAATATGAAGTCGAACCACTTTCAAAAATATTCAATTTTAACGGAGTTGTGCATAATTCCGGAAACAGATTTTAGTAGAGGTTTCGGTTTCCAATAAATTGTCTTTCGATTTCTGGCACCCGACAGTTCTTTCACTTTTCAAAAGTGAGTACAGTTAGCTAGTGTTTAATAACTTGAAAGTCTAAAATAATAACAAAAAACGCTTAAGGGATCAAATATTTCATTTTCTCTTCTCAAGCGTGGTCGACGTGTTAGTGTATGTGATTTCAAGAACCACTTCAGATTTTTTTAAAAAGTACTCTAAATTCTCTAACAACATGCAAGATTTGTTTCACAAACGCTAGCAGCTTTCCGGAATCATTTCCTTCTTGAAATATATCGTATCTACTAAAACGTATTGCTTGCACGTCAATATAAGTTGAATTGTAGATACTGCATGGAATTAAAGACACTGAAGTCTATGAGTTTGGCACTATATGCCTGAAGAGGTCTAATAATTCATTCCTGACTAAGTTATTAGTTGTTCACATTTTGAAGTAAAAGAAAGCCAGTCGCATGCAATATAGACTATGTTGAAAACTTAAAACTTTTCACAACAGAGGAAGCTTGCTATAAACGTCTCCGGTTCACTCTCTTTCCCTTTCTCTTCTTTTAATTTTAGCAAAACATTAGCACAATGCTCCACTTATAGAAGTTTTTATTTTCTCTTTCTTAATATAGAAAAGAAATTCTAAACTTGAGTGCGAACAACATGAAAAAAAACCCCAATATCTGAATCTCCAACAAAATACCCAGCAGACACCACATGGAATATAGAGCGATGTATATTTATGGAAAGTCACTCCCATACTTAAGACTATCCATTTAAAGCTCAGCTCTGACAGCTGTAAATCATACTAACAACAGATCTGTTTTCGAGCGTTGAATTTGCCCTTTTTAGAGTTTGTTACAAATATAGCACACTTGATTTAAACACGCAATCTAATATCCCTCGAGAAAAAACTTCATGAAATTCCGTAAATGAATTACCAAAATGTTTAGCCATGATGGAATAATAATTAGTTCGATCGGAACCTGTTTTGGTATATTTTGAAAAACGTCAACCGAAAAAAAGATAATATTTATACTTTTTAGGATATTTATATTTTTTATTCCGACAGCGAGTGGAAGTCGTTTCTTGTCATATGATGATAATAATGATTTTCTTTATCAGTTTTCAAGTTCCTTATTTGCTCAGGAAAAAAATGATTATTAGATCATAAACTACTTCCTTCTTTCTTTTGCACAGATGAATTTCTATTTACATGCACAAGATGTGTTTTCTTCGCATTCATTATTCATTATTGTAGAGAATGGAGATCAATTTACAAGGTAAAATGAGAACCAATTGCAAAATAATAATAAAAAATAATAATAATAAAACAACGTAAATTAAAAATAATAATTAGCTGAGTTGACAGCTCGTCTGAAATTTATCTACAGTTACAAGTTGTCTGATTAAATTACTTTCAATTCCGTCTTTTCCTTCTTCTTCTTCTTCTTCTTCTATTCTATTTCTAGCTCAAAGGAATCTATTTTTTTGTCTTTTCCCCACTCTTTCGGATACAATCAGACCGATTTATTGCTTGAACAAAACAAATAGATGCTCTTATCAAGAGGCTGATTTCCTATTTTCCTTTATCCTTCTTTTTATAGATAAAGAATAATGAAAGAAAATAGATAGGAAATGCGCCGAATTCGATTATGGCTCGTCCCACTTCATCATTATAAACCATATTCTAGCTAACTAAACCCTATATCTAAATTATAGATTAAAATATTCGGTTATCAACAAACTTAGAATGATATTAAATAAAAATGTAGAAAAAAAAAACAACGCCAGAACGATGATGGACAGTCCTGATACAAATTATTTTATTATTCATTCCCAATACTTCACTAAAATTCTATTCATTATAACAATAAAACTTTCCAAAAATACATATTTTAACTTGCACTTTCTCATATTGGTGCTTATTTCTTTAAATAGTTTTTATCTTATTTGGGAAGTCCTGCAATATGATGGCGGCTATTATAAGTGCACCAAACATTGAGACATATTTTCATGCACACTGTGATTGGATAACTACTACAGTTTGTGTGCTAGTTTTTGATTGGCTTAGCCAATGGAAGCCATCGGAAAGTCACTACAAGCTGCTTGTTGTTCATTCCTCTCCCATATCTTCTCCTTCGAGCTCCTCTTCCTTTCCTCATCTCGTTTCTATATCACTTCGTCCTTCCACTGCTCATTAAATACACACTCTTGGCATTTATTTATTTTTGCATGACCTTTTATATATGCCCTATGCATTCCTTCTGGCGGGGAATTTATTTACAGTTTCTTTATAGAATCCGTTATCATCCACACATAACTGTGAATGTGTCGATTTTCTTTCAATTTGGTCATGACTCTTTTTTTTCACATTTTCATATTCTTTTTTTCTTTTCTTTAGCTCCTGCTTCGTTCCCTAGTATTTCCGTCACCTGGCGTCCCTGCTTAACTTAACTTCCTCATCAATTTTCCGTCATACGACCGCGCTTGTCATATTATGGTTCAGATCTTGTTTAATTTAATGCTCTTGTAGTTAGAGATATACGTAGACATTACGACGCCAAAATCTATACATTCAGACCATGTTTTCGAGTAAAAAAGAAGATAAAAGAACATCTGATGCATGGCTACGTGCGGGTAAAGATGACTATGAGCACTGCCTTGTTCATTCCGCGTTCGTTCGTTCGTTCGTTCGTTCTTTCTTTCGTTCGTTCGTCCGTCCGTCCGTCCGTCCGTCCGTTCGTTCGTTCGTTAGTTCGTTCAACAAACAAACAAACAAACAAACAAACAAACAAACAAACAAACAAACGAACGAACGAACGAACAATTAAACAAACGAACAAACAAACAAACAAACAAACAAAGAGCATTGAGATATTTATGTAAAATTAGAATAAAATCATTATAATTAAGACATATAAAATTTTAAAAACATGGTCGGTTAAGTCTCTTCACTGGGATACAGCTAGTAGGAGCTGCACTAAAGAGAACAAGTTTTATGTCTACCATATACAAAAACCTAATAGTACTGTGTCTATCTAAGTTTTGTGCCTATCATACATAAGAACTCACTAGTACTGGAGTTCTTTTAGACAAACAAGGAAAACGATAACTAGAGATCAAAAGAGACCCATCTAACTGAACATGCCTAGTTTTTGCAAAAGAGCAGGATTTCAGCGAAAAGTCTCATCTTATCGCCCCAATCTATCCGGGCAATCTAGCCTTACTTCAAGATGGCGGCCGCTACATAGATCGCGGCTAGCGTGTTTACATATCACACACGCGCGCGCGCTTTTTCATTTGGCGCGAAAACGCAAACGTCTGTTTGGCTTATGATCGACCTATGGGTTTTTAAAAGCGGATAAGTAGCAGACTGAGGAAAGTGTAGTGCATGCACGTGCTTGCACGTGGCCTACTTGAAATTTAAAAATCGACTTATACATTCAACGAATTATGAGTCCTCGGGGAGCTTTTCGTATAACAGTGAATTTACCCTTTAAAGCACGAAGGTTCTTGCCCTAGTACTTCCTAGCCTAGTTATGATATTTTCTTGTTTTTATGAAGATAACAACACAGTTGGCTGCTGTTGGCACTTTTTTGTTTACAATTCTCAAGGTAAAAGCGAAATCGAATTGTTTTGTTTTCTTTAGTTCCTACAGCTTTCCTCAACGATGTCTTAGAGGTTCTAAACTTCCTTAATCTTTCCGCCCACTTTCAACCAAAAAGATCGAGATGCGAAAATATCTAGATAAGGACGGAAAGCTAGGACTATTTTCAATCTAAATTGCTTGAAGCGGCAACAATTTATCAAGACCATTTCCCGCGATTAGAGCATTAGTGTGACGTCATAACAAATTTCCAAACGAAGAAGATAGGCGCGGATCGACGAATATAGTTTAAGAGCCGCCCTGATTGCGAAGTCCCAGTTAAGCTGGATTATAAGCTTCTTGCAACCTAAGTGCTTTATAATTACCTTCAGCTAGAGTGAGCTTTAGTAGAATATCATTAAAGCACCACTTCTGTTAGGTTCAATGAGTAGGGGTGGGTGCCAACTAGACGGATAACTAAATGCCTCATGCTGGTTAGTTTGGCCGCTAGACATCGAGAACCATCAAGCTAGAAAGCGAAAACAAAAATAAAACAGATGATTAATTCCGAGTTATTCTCGAATTTCCTCGCACGAAACCTGGATCTTGTTCTCAAATCGCGCTATATCAAGATCGAGGCATTAGTGTGTGAAGTTTTTGCATATCTTCTGTGGAATTTTACGAAAATAGGGGGCGAAGATGTTTTGTCTAATACTTGCTCCTGCTTAATTGCGTTACTGTTGATTTTTAAGTTCAATTTTTCTTAAATTTGTCCTTGCTTTTGCTACTGATGTTGTTGTGGTTGTTGCTGTTGCTGTTGCTGCTACTGTTGTTGTAGTTTTTCAGGTTGTTGGTGTTTTTGTCTTTCATTGTTGCTGTTTTCGGTCGTTGTCGTTGCTGTTGTCGTCGTCGTCATCGTCGTCGTCGTCGTTGTTTTCTTATAACTTAGGTGAATAGATAGGGGGGAGGGGGGGTGGGCTTGTTGACTTTTTTGCAGGGGGTCATTAATTCAGTTTTAATTTTTGAAAGCAATATATATTATTTAACGAAATAAGGATAATTACTGATGACTGGGTATCGTATTTTATCAAAATATTTAATTTGCAATTGGAGGATGGGGGAGGAACCATAGTAAATTAGTTTTTTTATGCCGGGGGGCTTACAAAAGCGTAAGACAAACTCAAATGACCTGAATGATGATGATTTTATAAGTGGTGAAAACCATATTACTCTTTATCTGTTGCAGTTGTAGTTTCTTATAGCGATACTAGTCAATTGTTGTTGTTCATGTTATTGGTGTCGCTGCTGCTGCTGCTGCTGCTGCTGCTGTTGTTGTTCAGATATTTTGGCTGCAGCTGCTCGTGTCAGTGTTGCTATTGTTACTGCTGCTGCTGTTACTGTTTTTGTTGCTGTTACTGTGGCTCCGGCTGCTGTTGCTGTTCTTGTTTTTTTCTTCTGCTGTCGTTACTACTACTGTTGTTGCTGTTGTTGTAGTCTACTATTGCTGTTATTAAACTCCTATGTTGTCATCATTAATGTCTCACTATTCCTGCTGCTACAATATGTTAATATTTGCTTCTCCAGCAAATAAACAATCGTTATCATATTGATGTGTCATCCATAATTAGCGAGCGACTTTCTTCGTTTTCAAATCATTCTGACCTCCCCTCAGCTAACTTTCCAAGCTTTTGCCTTGTCTTAAAATTCATATATGTGTATGTTTTAACTTTTTTGATTCTGAATAATAAATTTTCTACTTAAATAATTTAACTTTGTCGTGATATATTTACGTTAATGGTTGCATTGTATCCTTTCTAATGGACGAACTATTGATGACACAGATGACACGTATCAGCCCAAACAAAATATCATCAGTATAGTTTATTCAGACACTTTTAATGCACGCTTTCATTATGATAAATGAGTATAAGACTGTTATCGTTAGGGCAGGCATCTCCGCTTTATAGCTCTTGAAATAGAAAGGATTTAGCTTTAAACACAAAGCTACCAATCCAAGCAAGAGCCCCCTAGCTAAATCACTAAAATCTGACTGAATGGGGAGCAATTTACTTGTCCATTGAACGAAACAAAACTACATACAAAACATACGAAATCTTTGCTATTACGAAAAACTCTACTTACAAAGGCCTGCATATCGATGAGGGGGATTTCAGTCAATTTTCAACATTAATTCGGTTTATTCACAATCCCAGCTCATATTGCCTGAAATACTTGAATATATTGGCCAGAGGAGTTGTGCGACAGCGGTCCCGGCGCGCTGTTTTTATTAAACCGAGAAAAAGTATATTTATCAAAAAAAGAAAGAAAAAAAAACCCGACCCGATTTGTTTTGTCTTAGCGCCCTTGATCGCTATCTCCAAATTGTTCTTATACAATTAAACGCGGTAGAATTTACATCATTTTCAGTTTCTTTAGATCCTTGAGGGAAGCTTAATTCTAGTTTTGTCACATTTGGTTTGGCGGGTTTTTTTGACGCTCGCTCGGCTTGAATTCCGAAGGAACTGGACCCAGACAGCGGATGCCACCAACATCACTTCAATCGATCAATGTTATCATATATTTTAGACGCAAAGACTTCCTGAAATAACTAAGAATATGATAGACATTTGTCGCTAACTCACTGTGAAAGCACTCCCATATTAACACTCTACTAAAAACCCACTTAGTTTTATCATTGACTGGATGTTTGGAATAGTATCTTTTGTTTTATATGTGAAAGCTCTGTCAATAACCTGAAGGTTGACGTGCGCGCGCGTTTTTTTTTCAGCCGACGCGGGCGCCAGGCTGAAGAGGAAACTTTCTAGCTGTTTCCCTTTTCATTACTGACAAGTAGAATTGTCCGGGGTTATTAAATAAGTGAAAGAATAAGAGAGAGCTGAGTCCGTTTTTTAATTCCTTTGTGTAATTAATGTCACAGCTCCAGCCCTACGTCCATTTTCCTCCAATTTATTTTCATTGTTCGAATTATCTTGTTTCCTTTCGTCTTGTAGTCGAGAACGGTTTGTTCTGGCGTCAGTACTCAAGTGGTTCTATCCAGAGTGTGGGCTGAGATCTTCAGATATAACGAAAAGTCACCTTCATTATTCACTCAGTGAAGATGAGAAAATGTAAATAGATGGGAAAAAAGACAAGGAAAAATCATTCAATTCCTATTCATTCTTAATTGAACATCGTCTGTATATGATTATCGATATCTATTGGATGAATTTAGGTAACCTAGGTTGCCTTAATCACGCATTCACAAGGCTTAATGGTGCATGTGCGTTGGCAATAAAACAACGAAAGAAGGACGAGAAAAAGAAAAAAAAAACAAACAAAACAGTTGAAAAATCATAGAGGGCGGAGTTGCGATTATGATATATATTAAAACAAGTGTTTTTTTTACCCTTTTTGATTTTCAAATGTTCAATATTAATCACGAGAGGAAAAAAAAAAAAAAAAAAAAGAGAGAGAGAGAGAGAGAAAGAATCACGAGAATAGAATGCGTAGGGTTGTGAGTATAGTTCAGAGTATTTTCTTTAGATTTCGTTTTGATTCACGTCTGTGTTAATTGGTAAAAACCCTTGCGCTTCAGCTTTAGTTAGTATGATAATGATTAAGCTCAATTCTGTCTTGCTTGTTTTAGATTTTAAGGCGACAATATAACGAAAACATAGGGTAAAACGGCAGACTTCAAAAAGGGGCGGCTTGCGCCCCGTAAACTACAGAAGTTCTAGAAGCAAATAACATACAAAGTCACAGCGCGCAGAGTATTTGCTTTGGCGAGAAGAACGTGTATATATATTACTAGGCAGTGGAAATAATCCAAGACATAGAGCAGGTGTTGTTAAGAGCTTCTAGCTGATCAACTTGACCAAACGAACATGCAGAGCACCGAAAGATTCAAATGAACGATATTACAAGTGTGTAGTCTGGCTTGATTCACAAATAATTCATAATTTCCTCGCTTGAGTGATAGCTAAGAAAACTTCAGCCTTTCATTGGGATGGCGGCCAACTCCTTATTTGAGGCCTTTCACCAAAGACTTAAAATTTGCGCATTGATTACGTTTCAATTCTTTCTATTTTTTGAATATTTTGCCTTGTACATGACAAATTCGATTCCTTTTTTATAATTAAAAAATTTATGTATCCTAGAAACCTGTACCAATAAGCTTGTTATATTAAATATTTTCCAAAGTGTCCATACTCAATTCATATATATATTCTCTTGTTATATATTAGTACTATAAATTTGCACAATGACGCAAAATTTTCCTCTAGAGGTTTTGAGCAATACTGCAGAGTGGTGTTCAAGAACTCCTTAAAGTCTTATTCTATACACAATTGTCAAAGCCTTCGATTGTCAATGACACTTTTCATTTGTCAAAATATATAATTTTTAATTATTCTTGTTGTGAGAGTTAAGGATGTAGTAAAATTCTTGAAGAGGAAAGCCGTTGGGGACTGAAGAACCGAAATGAAACCGCCAAGTTTTCTAGACCAAACAAACGAGGTTTGAAAGAACTGCATTTCGTAGACGAAAGACTGAATTTAGATAGGATCTTCACCTGCACACCGACATAAATCGATAAATCTAAACTTTTTTTCGTCGATTTTTAAAGGAAAAGTTGTGTGCGTCGCGAGCTGATATATCTCCTGAAACACGTATCTGTGAAGTCTATCGCGCTCTAGATGATAAAAAAAAAAAGGACATCGCACAAGAAATGGAGTTCGATAAGAGTCTCAGATACTCCTTTCAAAATTATTATTATTTATCACCCAACGCTTTTGCCTGGTTTCTTTCCTATTCTTGATAACAATTCAGAAAATCATGCTTTCTGGATGTTCCATATGCAATGGATTTTCCTACATATAACGTGCTGCCGTAGGCCACTAATGCATTATTACGCCTCGGAGGATTAAAGCCATGATGTTGGCAAGTAGAAAACAGACTTGTAATCACTGAAAAATAAGTCTTGAGCGTTGCTTTCAGTTGTCATGACAACGACATTGTGATGATGATGATGATGATCATCATCACATAGATGGATTTGGGTAATGCGCATGTGATCAGACCGCGTCGCTCGCATACCTTTTTAACCAATCCTACGCAAACTTGCGTTGCATCAGTTTTATCCTGGTCATAGCGCAGTCACAACCAAGCTTCATTAGAGAATGACATCGTGCATAAAACTGAGGACACGGCTTGAGCACAGCTTTCTGTGTTTAGTAAGCAAGGAATATTTTACTTAGCTAAAAGGGCTAGCAGACGGTTGCGCTCTGTCTGCAGTTGCGGTTGATTATAAAAATAATTAAACGAAAGCTGCACTTTTAATGTAGATCATTTATGTCTCAGTTAAAGAGTACTCACTGAAACTTCCTCTTTTACATTGTTATGCTTTTTTGCGCTAATTCTTCGTGTCTTGCAAACCCTCGAAGCGTAGAACTATAAAAGTGATAAATCATTCTATCCCTAATCGAAATTCAAATTTATTCCTGTGGTGAACGATAGCATAACGTTTTGAAAATTATTTATCATATGTATGAAAAATAAACCGATGGTCTTACGTACAAGAATGATTAAAAACAAAACGACATTTTAAAAAGACTTTCAGTTGAACAAATAAAGGTAGAAATATCTACGGAGAAAAAATAGAAAAACGAAAAAGCAAAAGTAGCAAAATAAAAAAATAAATAAAAACAAGAAAAAACTAGTTCTGCAAAACACGGAAAAACGAGAAAAAACATGATCGAAACCAAGTTTGAATATCCACGCTGTCGTCTTTCACATTACATAATGAAAGTTTTCGTAATTCCCTAAATTACTACGACTAAAATTATCCACCATACTGTGACAATGACAAGGAACTGGAGCGTTACGTACGAGAAACAGCACAGCAGTTGAGCTGAAATCATTCACTCTTTTCTTTCAAATCATTTGTTAGGACAGGACGTTTGTAAAAGCAAAATGACAGTGAAGTAAAATATAAGAATGAATGTTTGCCAATTACGTGCGCTTTAAACAAACTTCGATAAAATATATAAAAATATTAATTCTGTTTACAGACGTAAAAAAAACCGGTTTTCGTAAGGTCAAGGACCACGCCTTAAAATTATTGTTTACAGAACTTGAAATATTTTTTCTGAGCTTAGGTAATTTTACATTACACGAGACCTTAGTCACGTCTCGTGGTATGTTTTGGTTAGGCTCTACTGCCTCCTTGAGATTTGAACGTTTGGAATTATTCGTTGGCGTTTTCTGATTGGTCAAAAATGCTAAGGTCGAATTGTATAGAAGTCGCTCACCAGATACCTACGCGTTTTGAAAAATCGCCTTTTGGGGTGAAATTCTTGAAGCTGTCGATTTTAGATGAATTTTTTATCAGAAAACATCGTTTTAAAAAGAACGAATCTCGCATTCATCGCGTGCATAACTTCAACATCGCGTGCAAGAAGCGTTAGATGATGTCAGAATGCCAAAATTATCCCTTCACAAAATAGAGGCAAATGGCCTCAATATTAGCCATGCCTGGTGGTTGTATATTGGATAGAAAGTACCGCCTTCACTGTCTGATGTTTTAGTCCAATCAGATTGCGCTATTTTGACCCCACGCTTGTTATTTGACCAATGAGGGCGAGGAATCTTGACCACGTGATAGCCTTGGAGGGTTTTTCCCACAATGCTTTGTTGTAAGGGGGGTTGTTGAGCGGTGCTTCCAGTATGGGTTCAACTGAGGTTCATGGATAACATCCACATAGGGATTTCGTGGCTTTTGGGGATGATTTTCAACTAATTTGAAGCCTGCAGAGTCGAGAGAATTACTACTATGTCTGAGAACAATGTACTAAACGGAATTATTGATACATCTCTGGGACCAAATAAAACTAGAATGACAAAGGACGACGACATAGGGTGAGAAGTGTATTTTGTGTGTCTCTTGTCGAAGTCAAATATACCTTCTTAACTTCTAAAAATTCTAGAAAATATTCCAGAATATATTTTATTATTATGTATTCGGAATCCAAAGCCTCGAAGCCCACCATATTCACAGCGATGAACGATCTCTTTTCATTTCTAGTATTTTTCTTGGATTTCAATATTTTTTTCGTACTTCTTTCATTGAAAATGTCTAATATGTACACGTATATTTTCCTGTCTAGCGCATGAAACGTGGGCTAAAAGTCTTTTTCTTTTCTACAGGAAGCTTTTTGTGGGAGGATTAAGCTACGACACCTCAAAAGGTAAGTCTTAATTTCAAAGTTTGGATATGAATTTCAAAAATTCGCACCATATTTTTCTTGTGGTTGCTGTTGTACATTTGAAAAGTAACCGGGTTCTCACACAAGGAACTTATGTAGTCCTTAGCTAATTTTCATTTTTCCTTCCAAACTAGACAGTTTAAAGTCTTATTTTTCTAAATTTGGAGATGTAGTTGGCGTGGATATAAAATTTGACCCTCTTACAGGCCGACCTAGGTAAGTTTTTCTAACGAGATCATTTCTTATGTGTTAAACAGTTATGGTGGCAGAACCCGAACGGGCTTCAAACTGACTTCAGTCTGTTATTTGTATTAACTTTACTCTCTTGTTCCTGTGCCACGTGCTTCTTACACAGTTTACATATTTAATTTAGGACGAGTATTTGAAGTTTTCTTAGCTCTTTAGAAAATTGACGTTAGAATTTTGTGGCGATTATCGTAAAATGCGTCGCTGAATTCCCTTTCTCTTCCTTCAACAGTTACAAACACCATTATCGATGTGATTGTCTTGTTTTTAATTTTACCCGTTGTTTACCTGATAAACTAGGAGCACACTATTATTCTAAAGCAACATAGCTATTTTAATTTTAGAATAAACAGACCCCCTAACAGAGTCGAGTCATTTTGCGGGAGATTTAGCGAAGTTAAATTTTCGAGCATTAGTCTTCCATTGAATAGACTATCTACCGCATGGGATGAAGGGCGCATCGCGCAAGCCAATATACGGCGCAACCCGGAACTTTCTGTTTTGAATTGGATTCAAAAACAACCCAAGAAATTTCGCTGGATTATTCGTTTCTCTACTCGAGGCGTAAGGGTTAAGCGCTGTTTTAGGGTTATTTTGAGTGTTCGTGACTTGGTAAAATAGAAAAGTTTCCATCTCCAAGCGACGTTAACGTGTGACGCGAACGTTCGTTTTGCATGCCAATAACTGGCTAAGCCGTGCAATAACAGCCCTTAAAGCTGAGATCCATTAAGCCAAATGAAATGCAAATGAGTATGGCTTTGTCTGCTCTAGACTTGGTTGAATTATTCGTCTTATTTCGTTTTCTCTCTCTCTTTCTCCAGAGGCTTCGCTTTTGTCCAATTTAAGGACCAGTCTCAGGCAGACGCGGTGAGTATAACCTCTCATCTTACACTAATACCGGTACTATACTTATCTTTTCTTTCCTTGGTATCCTGGAGCTTGCGCGCAAGGCTTTTCGTGCGACTAACGAAACGTGTCAAAGACTCGCTCGATTGCACTAATGGCTTGCACTCGTAATTTATACAATCCTTACTGACCACCAGACTATCTAAGCGCGCAAACAGACAGCTAGGTGCCATCGACTTTATAGTATTGTTTTTATACGAGTAAGTCAAGCATAATCACTGTGATAAAACTTAACTAGAACTTGCATTGTATGCATATATTGAATAATGGCCTTTTCTTAGTGGGGTATCACTGTCAACGTTGTGGCTCAAATCTATAGCAAACAAAATAGAGCCAACAACAGCAATTGTCACTGTTAATGGTAAATGGCATATTGATTATATATTAATGAGTAGTGCTGTCTTTACAACTGTCACTTCAAGAGACCAAATACCCTTTTAAGTGTCTTATATACATGCGATTTCAAAGCATCCTTCCACTGCCATGGACTATTCTCAGTTTAAAGTAGATCCATTCTGCCCTTTCCGGGGCTTGAGATCAGTGTGGGATGTACATATTTGAATGGCCATCAACCTAATGGACAAGAGGATGTCTATGTTTTGACAAGGGCTTGTCAGCTACTTGCATCTTCAGGGACTTGTTAATGAGCAAATTTGGGAACCAGCTAGTGAGTTGCTAGTGGCAAATTAGACTTGTACCAGTTTTGTTGAATAATTATTCACTTGATGTCACGGGCATGGCTGTTGTTAAACAAACATTTTTAGATTCAGCAGTAAACTTTACCTTCCTCCAGGAAATCCTTAAGTCAAATGATTAGTGATTAAAACCTTTGAATGATTTATTCATAATTAGAACGAAACAAATTTCATGATTATTTTGATAAAAAGTTTTATCGCCAACCTCAAATCCCACATTGAAAGTTCCAAATAAAGATGCTGGATTATGTTGACCTTGTAAATTAAGGATATAGTGAACTAGATTTAAACCATGTGTGATTTTTGCTAGGGCTGTGCAAATAAAGACAAGCCCTCAAAGCGCACATCAAAGTGAAATTAAAGATCAGGCCACTTAAAGAAATAGCTTGTGCATTTTTTTTGGGAAATGATTTGTAAACAGGGTTTCCATATAGATATAATATCAGCACGTGGATAGATATATCTTTTATTCCACTACAGCTGATCAAAGATAGTTCCCCCAATCAATTTATAACAGGAGGGTGTCCTTCCCTCTTTCTTATTTGCCATTTCTTCTAAGATAAAAACTCACAAGTTGGAATCCCCTCAGAGCATAATGGACAGATTCCATGTTCCATTATTTACATATAAATGCCCTTAGTTTACAAGCACCCTGCAGCTATGATCATAATCAATGCATTCAACAATTCTATAAACAAAGCTTTTTGTGATTAAGACTTTTTACTTTGAACTCCTTTCAAGACAAGAGTAAAATTCATAGATTTCTTATATATAATTTCTGAATATTTAGTATTAGAAAATGTTTGAACTAATTAAAGAGGAATTTTGGAAATTTTTCAATAAATTCTATTTTTAATAAATAATGCGTTTCTTCAAGAAGAAAATTATGTTTGATATCATTTTTCAAATGTAACAAAGAAAATATAAATTGTTTTTGAATTTAAGCTTGGTTCTTTATTATGAAAAATAATTTTATTAAACTGCTAAACTTTTATTCAACATTTAATTTCAAATTTCAAGAGTTTAGAAATTTATGAAACCTAATGAATTTCACATAAAAGCTTCTTATCTTATGCAAGACGAGATAAAAATGTTAAAAGATCTTTTATTTGTGCCATGAATGAGTTATAATTTGCGTAATTAGCCCTTCAATCCTATGCCCTGTCTTATATATTTCGCTTTTGAGTTCGGATATATTTGTTTGTATTTCTTGCTCAGAATCTATGAAGTTGGTTTATCTATGTGTGTTTGTGAAATACTAGTCAGTATATAAGATATTAATTATTATTTCTACAAAACAGGCTAATTTGTTAAATCTATGAAGTTGGTTTATCTATGTGTGTTTGTGAAATACTAGTCAGTATATAAGATATTAATTATTATTTCTACAAAACAGGCTAATTTGTTCTGATGATAAACACCACGGGTACCTGCTATCAGTAATTTTTCTGTCTTTTTAACAGCAAACTTTTTTCACCATAAATAATTCAAACACAAGCAAACAGTTATTATAAAATAAACTAAATATGTTTTATTCAATTCATTATTTTACTAATAATTAGAAGATAAATATTTGTATTGCTGTATTAAAGCTTAGTTTTTTTGGGAAATTTATAAAGCGTTTTTGGAATTTTCAGTTAAAAAATATTCCAAAAAGATGCCCTGAGTGCTTGGAGGCTACATATACAAACAAATGTCTGGGACATGCTAAAATTAATTGTGGAATAAGAAAAATTATGATCAGCTAAAGCTATTGAAAGATTTTGTATAAAATTTGGAAAATTTTATTATTTTAAAATTTGGAAGATTTTTCTATGACCTTAAGATAATATCTTTTCAGAGATGTAGGAAATGGATTGATTTCCTGACATTAAAAACCATTACTTTTGATGATTCATCAGTAAGATTTATTCTTTTTTTTTTTCTTTTTTAAAAAAAGGTGTATTTGAAATTTAAAGTCTGATGAATCATTGCAGTCTTAATGGCTCTTAAAACAAATTCCAAACAAGTTGTATGGTTGTCCTAACTATTGCCATACACCATTAACCAAATTAGCAATATTTTCAAATGTTTTCTATAAAAGTTAAAACTTTGGTAAAAAAATGCTGCTTATTCTTTACAAATCTTCACTGAAAAGACACATTAAATAAAATATAATAGAATAATAGTTATTTCTTTTTCTTCCAGGTTCTCCAAACTGGACCTCACATTTTAGATGGACGAACGGTACATAAAGTTTCAAATAAATGATATTAATTACAGTGCTTATGATTTAATATTTTTTGTGAAAAGAAACAATTTTTAGTAGGAAGGGATTTTTGGTCCCTTTTATATTTTTTGTTGAAACATTATCTTGTGGTCTCAATATAGCTTTTAAACAATATTATAAGTAATTCATATTTGGTAATTTGTATTCACTTACAAGGTGTTATTTTTCGGACAGCATTATTTTTTGAAAATTGAGCATAATATTGGTCTAGTTTTTGAAACTCAAACATTAAGAGAAATTCATGAACAAAAACCAGGTTTTAAAAATGTTGACAAAAAAATTATGTGGTATTTTTTGAATTCATTGCAAATTTATTTTTATGAACACACAATACATATTAAAAAAATCAGATATTTTCTTTTCTGAAAAGACTTAAATCATAAGCTCAATTTTGTTATTTTACGTAGATTGAACGACTATCTTTATTATTATATTATATTATATTATATTATCTGTGATGAAATTTTTATTGCTGTCTGAAAGAAGTGTTATTTATCTATTTATCATGTTTGTTGACAATTGTTTCATTTTCTCGTCATAGATTGATCCTAAGCATGCCGCACCCATAGGAAAGGTAAAGGTACAAACAAACTGCAGTGAACACTCACTTGTAAAATCATTGTCGGGCTCAGTACATAGAACAAAGAAGCTAATAGCTGAGACTAAAATGGAACATGGGAAGTACTAAAATTATTTGTAAATCTAGTGATACAATATATGGGAAAAGTTTATAAATCCTGTTGCAATGACAGAAAGCATGGACCAAGGCTTTTAACACATGTTTCATATCGACTGTGTATGATCCTAGCTGAGCAGTGATAGAAGGAATGAGGCAAACATGGCAGTAAAGTGAAATTGCTTCTCTTCTTCCTTTCCATATTCCATATTTCTGTCTCTTGTAGGCACGTATATTTTATTTTAGTCAAAAAAAAAAACAACAAAAAACAAAAAACAGAAAAATATGCCAAAATTTGGGTTGTAGCAGCTTGGAAATGTCTGCTAGGGCTGACGGCAAAACAGCTAAACCCATTGTTATTGGCTGAAAAAATTTACCAAATGAATACCTTAGGGCCCGGTTGTTACGATGGGTGGATAGTACCATCTGACGGATAAATCCTTATCCAGTGGATAAAGTGATGCTGTTATCCAATGAATTTATTCACTGGATAAGATTTATCTGTTGAATAGCACTATCTACCCTTTGTATGAGGGGGCCCAGAGGATAATTATGTCGTTTCCAAGAAGACCTTTCTTTCGTTATCAGCTTCTTTGTTCTATGTTTCTGAACCTGACAATGATTTTTCAATTGAGTGAATATAATGTTATTCAGATTTTAAGATAAGTAATAAGAACAGATAATGACTAGCAATTATTGAATCATCTTCAAATTGAGGATACCAACATCACAGGGGGGTTGTACTTCACAGTACTTATCATACAATTTAAACTTTTGTGGAAGGTCATGCCTTTTTATTTTGAAGAAAGCTAGGAGAGAAATGACTTAATGAGGGTCATAAATTTCTCACTAAGTGAAAGGTGAAGGGCTGTAGTAATCATTTTTAAAGAAATTACTGTGAATCCCCCAGCTTGAGTGACCCCCCTCCCCTCCCCCAATAAAAGCCTACCTTTACTATAAATCTTGAACATTGTAAACGAAATTATTGCCTTTCAAAGTTGAAACATAAAATTTAAAGTCAGCCTCTGTGTTCATAGTCTTTTATTTGGCTAGTACTTAGTACTTGATAATGGTTTTGAAATTTTTTACAAATATAATTTATATTAATAGTCAAAGTTGAGACAGGGTGGTTTTGCGATGCTGATGCATTGTCCTTTCACCAATAAATCATAAATCAAGGCTTGTCAGGTTCAATGGTTGGAGCACCACATGCAGAGCTTTTAATATTATGTGAGATGAGTTTGTTCAATGCATCTTCCTCTGATGCTAGGAGGGTTTTTCATCAGGTCTTGTTTGCAACAATGCTTAATTCTAATTCAATCTCAGACTCAAGGGCCCTTTGTTAGATAACTCTTTGTGGTTATATTTCTTTACCCTCTTCAAAAAAACAGCTATTTTTAACAGTTATTCAACCTGCCTAGTTTAGGAATTGTACATTCTGAAATTTTGTACAAATATTTTTTAGAAACTTTATCAAAATTGAGAATTGATCTTTAGATGGTCAGAGTTTTTATTTACTTTCGTTTACCTCCAGTTTAAGTCAAAATTAAACATGCCAAATCAATCCAAATAAATGGATCCTTTTGAGTAAATACTAAAAACTGTGCAAATACAGTATATTCTATTTATCTTAGTCACTTATGCCAGAATAGATGATCTTGTGAATATCATAAGATTAATCCAATTTAATGGCTATTTCCTATTAAGCTCTGCTATATTTTCTTCAAGACTAATTTTTATTATGACTTCTTAATTGGCTGTCCGTGTTCCTGATTTAGAACGAGATATTACACCTATAAAAGGAAGTTCTAAGGATTGATTAAGTAAGCTGATTCATAACTCTATAATAGGAGTCTCACATCTGCTTAATTATAGCTCACCTGCCATTTAAATAGTGTTATATTCAAATTTTAGACAAGATATGCATGTGGTTCTTATTAAAGTTAAAAAACTATCCAGTTTGTACTATATTTATAAGATACCTATCACAAATTGAACACATTTCAATCGAACATTTACTATAAATGGACAGAGCAGAAAAAGGACAAGGCTGCTACTTTCGCAATTCTTTTCTTTATCTCTCAGGACCTGTCCACGCTATGCCGGATAAATTTGAATCCGGATTTTTACTTATTAGAAAATTCGTTTTCGGTGAAAAATTGTTCCAGATTCGCCCGGACTAGTGTGGACGGTAGGCCTAACTGAATAAATAAAAATTTGGATTCAAATTTATCCGGCATAGTGTGGATGGGGTCTCAATCATGCTAAAAAACGTTTAGTGTTTCATTCGTGTCTCTTGTGCTTTAAGCTTTTCACAAAATTCTGCTAACCTCGAACAATTCTACATTGAGGTATTAGCGAAAATGTTAGTTTTTGTGCTGATCAAAATATCATCTCTCCCAACGTTCAGGGCGTTATATCTCAAATATGCATTCCTTAAATTTCCCCAAATTTTGGTATTTTGTTAATCAGCCCCAAAATAGCCTGTTTATGAAATATAAAGCTTATTAACGCATGAACATCGAAAGTAGAACCTGTTTTTCTGCCCTCTCCTATAAATGTGCAGTAGCATCACATCAGATCGGATTGAAATAATGATTTTAAGGGGTTTAAAGCACAAGCTATGATATCCTTACACAGGCAATTGCTTTAGGAAAATAGATTATTTTAAATTCTTCATGAAGCTAATTTAGGATTTGATCCTCCCCTTTCCTATGTCAGACCACCCTCCTGAGTGAAGATTTAGGTTATTTAAAGACTCCTATCAAATTAAGTTATCATGAAAAATTATTGTACAAATGTACATATAATTCAATGAACATATATTTAGCTCATATTATCAGGGAAGAACCACTCTATGGATCTTAATAAGTCATTATTATTATTATCATCATCATCTTCATCATATCCTTATTATTATTATATTTATAATAATGATGATTTCACATTAAATGCCGCTGTAATGTCAGCTAATAAGACCTTATCATCATCATCATCATCATCATTATAAATCATTAACATTATCTCATCATCATCACCCTTACCATTACCATTATTATTAATATTGTGATTACCATTACTATTATCATAATTAATATTGATATTATTAATAATATTATTATCACCATCATCATCATTACTGTCATTTTTATTATCATCATTATTATTATTTCCCAAGAAATAGAAAATGTTTTGTCAAACTAATTTTAGAAGTCTGAAAAACAAAATGAATTAACTGATGGCAGACTACGTCAATATAGGCAAGACGTGATCGTATTACTGCATGCTGATCCTATAATGTCAGGAGGAAGTTGACCTTCTATTTTAGGAACATTTATGATTTTTATAGAACTAACCAATATCTTTATCCCAGTTATTGTAACCAAACCACCTCATACGCATTACTATAATGTTAAACTCTTCAAGTCAAAAGAGTCTACTTCAAAGAGGAATTCTACGTTTCACATATAAGATTCTATTATTGGACTAATGTTTACATATCATGTATTTGATAAAATATTGTTTTATCCATTCACTATTTACCGAGAAGCTTGAGGTCAGGACCTTGAAATTGGATATATGTACCAGGAAACTTAAAATTTGTATCAATAACCTGAAACAACTTCTGGATTATAATTAGTCAGGGCACTGCTAAGTATCAGATTATCATTCAAATTTAGCTACCTTGCTATAGGTTTGGTGCAGACGAAAACTGGAGAAAAACCCTTGAATCAAGGGAGTGACCTAATATTTAACTCTACTTGTGAATATAAGTTCGTAAGTCCAGGATCCGATTCCCAGAAAAAAAAACAACGAAATATCTGATGTTTCTGCTAAAATAAATGTTATAGCTCCTAAATGAACAGAAAATAAATGATGTCTCCTATGTACAGTCTCCCAATGCCATCAGACAACCAAAAGGTGTTGTCTTCTTCTCAAAATTTACTTTTACATTTAGAAACAAATATGACTGACCTACTATTTATTAATTACTCAACAACCCCTCCTGATATTTTTTGTTGTTGCATGAGCAGACACCCTTTTAATATTCATATATAAAACCCTCATAGCTATTGTCAAGATATTAATGGTATATGCCTGGCATGAAATCAATAATAAATAATAACTATTATCTTGGTTTTCAGCCTCCACATCTGAGAGTGAAGAAGATATTTGTTGGTGGATTAAAGCCAGACACTTCAGATGATAAAATAAGAGATTATTTTGCAAAATATGCACCTGTAAGTATTACGTACATGTTTTTCTGTTTTGGTTTGTTTTGTGTGGGAGGGAACACTAGACAAAATAATACCCAAGTGGGCGTAGGGTGAACATTAATTGAATTGATCCGAGTGGAACCAAGTGCTATGGTAGTTATTGTTACAAAAAATGTAATTTCTAATGGGACAATTAGAAGAAAAGATAGAAAGGAGGAAAGGCAAGGAAAAGCATGAAGTTAAGGAAAAGAATGAACCAGTCCTATATAGATGAATGAAAGAAAGAAAAAAGGAAGAGAGAAGCTAAGATGAGGGGAAAATGTAGTTTTAAATGGATTGAAAAATGACAAAGTAAAGAAACAGGGAAGAGAGAAGTGGAGAAAAATAAACTTACAAAAAAAAAAAAAAGAAAAAAAGAAAGTCAAAAAAAGGGAAAAAAAAAGGAAGAATGAGTGTACTGGTTTGTAATTTAGAATTTGTATTGTAGTTTATAATGCACTCCTACTCATTTTTGTAATTTAGACATGCATATTTAGTGTAAATTTAAAACACTGGAATTATGATAATTAAACCTATTTGTGACCTTTTTTTGATAAAGTTCTCATCTTTAGCAAAAATAGTTGTTCATTTATGAACAAAAATGTTCTTAATTTTTTAAATTAACTAGAAAGAATATTCCTTGGAATAGCTGTTGCCAAACAATTGTCACAAATTTGTCAGGCTTATTCGTCAGTTTTTTGCCCTTAGGTGTAATCTGAGATGTTCTTGTGATTTAGGGATTTATGGCCAAAGTTCATATTTTATTAATATCTTATAGTGCAATGCGCAAAGGTATGACCACATTTAATGTTCGCATACTTCTATGTATGAGCTTTTTTGCTGCCAAAAGAGCAGTTTCATGCCTTATTTGGTATAACGAGCCAACTTTGCATTTAAATGTGTGGGTAGAAGTATGCAAGTACATTAAGAGTGGTTATACTTTTGTGTGTTTTGCTGTAAGGGGAGTTTTAAGCCAGTCTAAGTGCATGTTTAAGGTTAGGCAGCTGAATGGTATTATCTTAATAGCCACGGCGCTCACAAAGTGGGCATTTATTTCTTAGACTCACTGTCTAATGGGAAAACCACTTGAGAAACAGATTTTTGATTTTCTGAATATTTGATGATGACGAAACTTTCTCTATAACACCAAGAAATCTAGAACATTTTCATTAATTATTGAGGTGATGACATCAAAGTATTGTGCCTGTTGTACGATAAGTTACAATCAGTGCATGAGAGTTTTTAGCCTGGTCTACTTCAAATATTTAGTTAGTCTGTAGAACTCAAAGCTGTGGTGTGACCGAAATGGAATATGAGTCTGGAACGTAGCCAATTAGAATTCAAAAATTGATAGTTCACTTAGTGGGACAGGTTTATTTGACAAGTTATTACTATTAATAGATGCTTGTATCATCCCATGGGTTTTCTATTATCTTAAGCCCCGTTTACACTAGAGAGTTTTGCGGTGATTTTTGCTGAGATCTTTTGGGCGATCCTGTCCATAATAAATAATGGTAAAGAATTTACTTGTAAAGTTTTATTCAGGATACCAAGATTTTCCTAGACGAATGCCTTTTTTGAAGGATGAGACAAAAGATTTTGTATTTCTGAAAAGTACCACAAAAATTGCAGCAAAAACTGCCACAAAAATTGCCAGTGTAAATGGGGCTTTAAAATATTTTAATTCATTCTTACCATCATATCTATATTCAATGTAATTTTCTGAAGAGTTACTGATAAAGAAAACATACACAAGGGAATGACTCATGGTCTAAAATCAGAAATGCATCCCCCCGTACACCAAAATTGTTTATATCTGTTGTAGATGTTGGTGAAAATAGATTGGATTGATTGAATGAACAAATGAATGAATGAATGAATGAATGAATGAATGAATGGATTTATATCAAGAGGGTAATGCAATTTAACATCAAAGTACTCAATGGAAGGCCTTTTATGGTTTATTTTAATCTAAATTATTGATTTTCTCTTCATCAGGTAAAAGAAATAGAATATATCACTGAACACTCAAGCAACAAGAGAAGAGGTAAGAATTAGTCAGGGCACTAATTGCCAGCCAATAAAAATATTATATATTAAACAGACGATACCTTAGTGACAGAAAGCTATCAATACACCACTTTACCTCGGGCATAATGTTCCCCATTTCAGACCGGTGTGTCGACAAATTCTCTTTAAAATAATATTCCAATGTTTGAGCTTTATATTCATATTCATGTGTCTTCTCATGTGCAACTTCATTAAACAAATTAAAGAATGACACGTGGTGCGAAGTTAGTGCCCGAGGTAAAGAGGTCTGTAACTTATTCTACTCATTGGTCATTTAAATGTTAGTAAGCGAAGTAGCTATATTCCAACTCAGACATGTTCTAAAAAGCACTCGGAGTTTCTGTGATGTTCATTACCTTCACTTTAATTGAATGAATTAAAATTGGCATAAATAAAACACAAGTCAAGAGAATATTATATTAAGCCATGCCAGAATCGTTCTTTGTCTACTTAGAAAAAAGATTTACTTAATTTTAATGAAAGATTGGATTTCAAGTGTTAAAAGATGGTACTTTGCTGTGTTTCGTAAAAAGCATCCAAATTGGATTATTTTCATTGGAAGTTAAGTGTGGGTGGGGTAGCCTGTTGTTAGGTTCAACCAGCATTGGACCTGCATTATATTAGCTCAATGTGGATTCTTACTGGCCTCTGGATCAATCTGTTTCATGGGTTCTTCTCCTGGTATATAGATCTAGTTTTACTTCCTTAGCAAAAATCAACTTTTAAGTTTTCAATTTGATCATGGAACAAAGGCAGGTGTGCTTCTGGGTCATTAGACTTTATTAACTGTTGATTGGTAAAGGACAAAAGCTATGTGTTGAGTACAACTATACTGTGCTGTGCTGTGCTGTGCTGTGCTGTGCTGTGCTGCGCTGTGCTGTGCTGTGCTGTGCTGTTGATCAGCAAAGAACAGTCTGTACTGTGCTTTACTATACGTTTCTGTTTGATATTCCTCATTAACATAAGAGCTTTTAAATATTTAAACCATATTTTGCTGGTCAACCTTAGATTCTTCAAAATACCATAATAGTACTATGGCTATAAATATTGATTAATGAAACTTTGTTCACAAAGTAGGTGCGTCTCATAAGAGATGATAAAAAGCTCTCATGAGCATTATCAAAATAGGGTGGGACTTCGGCTGTCTAATTTTCCATTTTAATTAAAATGTGATGCTATTAGGAAGGTGGCTGTCTGGTTTTCTGCCAAAAATGTTTTGTGGAGGAAGGAAACTCTTAAGACCATAAATGGATGATAGTTTTGATTAGGTCTGGCATTAATCATGGAAATCTAACCCCTAGACATGGAGAAGAGGGGAGGATAACTCTAATTGAGCACTATATATAAATTTCTCAATCTAGATTTCTTTCCTATTTCCTTTTTTTCTTCTTTCTGTCCCTTCCCTTTCCCTTCCTTTCCATAATTTTTCATCTCCTCTCATTTCCATTCAGATGCTTTCTCCCTATTCCTTTTATTTCTTTTCCTTTTCTCTTTTCTTTTCTTTCCATTTCTTACTCTTTTTTTTATATAAACTTTCTAGACCTTCCAACTCATTTATCAAATTCAAAATATTTTTTCAACTGTCATCTCCATAAACCCTTTTCAAATTTAAAAACTAATTCATCAAACCCTACAGAGAGTAACAACTAAAGCCCCTATGGCCTGGCATTAGCATTTGTAATGTTTACAATTGGGTGTGATATGCATTCCTAAAGGTTAATATTCCTATACTTACATTAGATAGATTTTATCTCCCTCTAATACTGGTCAAATAAAGCTCTTTGTCATGTCATGTCCTTGGCTTTTAATGACTGATTTTAATCTTGATTTATCTTTTGTTGTTCCTACAGGTTTCTGTTTTGTTTCTTTTGATTCTGAAGATACTGTAGACAAGATATGTGAGACACAGTTCCATAATATTGATGGGAATAAGGTAACAAATGTCCTAGAAATCCTGTATCTACTTACTTATTCATGTATCTCTACCTAGGCTTATACCATCATAATGATTTAAGCAAGAAAAATGACCTGAAACTCATTTATTTCTTATCAGTATCAAATATTATATTTGCTATGAATACAGAAGCAGTGATTCACAAAAACAGTCTTAAATTTATTTTATTCATCAACAACAATGGGTCTACCAAGAAATTCAATGCACACGATGTACATACTTTGCAAAGAAAAGTGATTATAGGCTTTTTGTTTTGTTTAAGGTTGTTTTGCCTTTTATTTTCTATTAATTATGACTAGAGATTTGACAGCAGACATGTTTTGGAGCAAAACTAGTCAGTGTTCTTTTCAAGAATCAAAATAGTACTCACTCCCTGTACAGAAGAAATTGTTTTACTCCACAACATGTCTGCTTGAAGTCTGTACAAAATAAACCTTAATGTGGGTGGTTAAATAACTGAAAAATGTACCTAAAAATGCATCCTTGATTCTAAAGTTACAAAAAAAACCCAATGTAATGTTATCCTTTCTCTGTTAATCGATATTATCTTTCCCTACTTAGAATGACATATCTTTGTTCTCAACAAGTCAAAGCTCATTCAAGATTTAAGTTGTACCATTAGTGTAATTCAGACGATTTTCACTAACATTACTAATTTAATAACTCAGGTTGAAGTCAAACGAGCCCTTCCAAAAGAACTTCAACAGCAACAAGCTGTCCTTAGGGCTGCGGCTGCGACAGGACGTGGAGTTATTCCAGCCTTAGGTGGGTTCTTGGGGTTATGATGATAAGTTTCACTTCTAATAATATACAACCAGATAAGTGACAGAAAGCACCTTCTGTTCGGGTCAAGTATTAATGGTTGGGATTAGAGGAAATGACATACAGACATGACGGAATTGATACACATTGAGCTTAAAGAGCATCAGGTTTCAATCTGTGTATGCATTTCAATCTCTGTATATCTGTACCCTGTATATATTGAATGAGATAAATTCCTCTTAAGATTAAAAGCTCATTGTGTAGTTCCATAAAATAACCCCCTTCCACGCCCCCCCCCCCCCCAGAGGAATTTTGAACTTTCAAGGGGTTGGAGGGGTCAGAGAAAACAAAATTACAGAGTTTGTATGAAAGAAAATTGGATTTTCCAGGGGTAACAATATATTAAATTTAGGGTAGGAGGGTCTTAAAAGATTTCTTTGTTTCCTTTGCATTTGAAATTTATTTTATCATGCTTGACATTTACCAGCATGGGGTTTGGCAATTTGTAGGGGGTTTAGAATGAAAGGATAATAGCCTGGTTCAAATTATAATACATTTCCTACAAACTTGCTTTTCTTAAATTTATCAGTTTTGGAGTATTTTGTGGTATGCTTTTTGAGGTATTTGATTGGTCTGATTGGAATTGGGGGGGAGGGGATGGTCAGATGTTCAAAATCACTCCCTTACCACCAGCTCCCCCCCCCCCCCCCCCCCTCCCCCCCCCCCCCCACTATCTAGTCCATCATTCTTGAAATAGTACCCATCTTTCAGTTTCAACTAAAGTTCCTCTATATTCTGATACTCTGCCCCCCTTTGACTTGGTATACATTCTACCTAATCTTACTTTATCCCCCTTATCTGCTTTTCACTACTATTCAATACACTTCGTTAACTAATCTTAAGGGAAATATGTTTGTGTCCATAAAAGAAAAACCTGCTAGCTATATAATATCTGTATCAACATACAACACCAAAGAAAGTAACCATTATTAATTATTATTAAATTAAATCTCAATTCACTTCTAAATGCACCTGATATCAATATCATGCTTAATATATAATTGCCACATATGCTACTAAATGATTGCTAATGTTATTGTTAACAAAGAGTAGGCAGCATTTTAAAGAAAAGCTTTGGCTTATTGTTCACAGCTCCCTTTGCTGGTGTGGTGACGGGAAGGTTAAGGCCCACTGCTATAGGGAGGGGTGAGTTCGAAATCATCCATATATTCACACATGTAGATACTGTCAAAAGTCAACAAAAAATATCTTGATCCAGTGAAATTTTAAAATGAAGAAAAGCTCACAGGTTAAAAGAACCCCATGCATTCTGTAATTGCTGATCTTCACTTGACGCCATTTCCTGTCTCGTGCAGATTTTTTATCAGATAAATCGATACATATATTGAATTTTCAGTGCAATTCTTCTTGGCTGACAGCACATGTTCATTCAGTGTTTGACAACCATTTGGAGCAGATTATGAGATTTAGGGATTTTGAATAAAGTTCATTTCCCAAACTATTGAGGAAAATGCGCAATTGAATAATTTCATATGGCCCATCACTTTGGTGGGGTGTGAATAAAAAACATGTTTTGGCCCGGATGCGCTATTTAGGTTCCTGAAAAGTCTCCATTTTATCACAGAACAAAACTAAATTGATAAAAAGAACTTTTGACATGAATAAGACTTCTTTTCCTTGGGCGTAACATTTTCCCATTTCAGACCTTATGTCATTCCTTTGAGAATAAGACACAATCGTTAAACAAAGAAATGATACTCTAGGGAATGACGCGGTTTAAAGCAGAATCTCGTAAAATATAAACCGTTCGAGAAAACTTTTCTCGTACTTTCGTAGAAGAACTTTTGACAGTGTCTTCATGTCAACTTAATGATAATAATCATCATAATATAAATCATTGATTATTATAATATCTTCCAGTGTTCCAAATTGCATGTTTTCTGTAACTGGGCTTCCTTCATCAAAAGCTTCACAACTTTAGAAATAGCATCACATCGTCACGATAATTCTGAATCTCTAATCATCTGATTCTATTAACTATTATCAACAATCCTAATAGATTAATCATTCATCATTGTCACAATTGGGATTTCCTTCAGCAGGAGCCATTCGTCCAGGAGTAGGGATTGGTGCTAGCGGCTACCCTTATACCTTATATGGTGGTGGTCTTGGAGCAAGTGCTGCTACTTTTGACCCTGCCTTATATGGTGCCTCCTTTGGAGTGGCCAGCTACCCAGGGTACAGCCCCGGGACCTACCCACCGGGGTACCCAGCGGCAGCAGCTGCTGCATATGAGTATGGAACATATGGAGCTGTGTCCAGAGCAAGTGACGTTCGATATGCAGGTACGAGCTCTCAAGCTAAGGAACTATTGGCTGCACCGTGATGTATATCTGGGGAATTAATTTTACTGCTGTTTGTGTTTTGGTTTTGAGCCGTGTGGCCCTGAATGGAATTGTTTTTGCCTTGGTCGTTTTTATCTTGTTCTTCATTTAAATTTACCAGTGGAAAAAAAAAATTACTGAAGTCCGCGCTGACACCATTCCAGGGTAGCATCAGCTTAATAAATAAGTATTATTTTCATCCATCATTTGCTTTTCTTCTCATTCGTTTATTGTTTTCAAAATATTTCACTCCAAGCGAGGAGTTTCATTTATATCCAAGGTTCTTATTTGTTGCATTGTTCAAATCTATTTCAGGACCACTCAGCTTAAAAGCGTTACACTTAAATGAAAAACCAATGAGTCGATACGACAAATAGATTCACAATTTCTTTATCTGCATGCCTTTATTTTACAATACATCATATGTTTTATCCATTATTTGGGACACAGTAAAACATAGCATAGGCCGTTATGCATAAACAGTTTATTCGCGTCAAACATTTTCCCGCTCAAACTTTTCCCGCTCAAAATTTTCCCGCCAAAACGTTTTCCCGCTCAAAATGTTTTTTGTGGAGGAAGTTAAAAAATTCTCAGTTCACCTATGCCGTGTCACTGTGTTCCTGACGTGTATATAATATCAATGTATTGCTATATTCATATTATTAGCACATCCAATATTGTTATATTATTTGATTTTGTCATAGCCGCGCAGTGTACAGAACTGTAGATACATATGTATTGGCTTTGTTACGTTTTTATTCTATTTATTTCCGAGTTGCTTCTAAGGCCTTTTCAATTTAGTTTTCCATCTTTGAATCTTATTTCTCCAGCTGGTTGCTGTTAACAAACTCTAATAATGTTATGTGCCTTTAAGACTTGACCCAACCCTGTCCATCATGTCTTGCGTGCTTGGTGGTACATTGGGTAGTTCTCTGATCGTAATCTCTTTCTTGACCAGAGAATTTTGTACTTTCCACTTCAATTGGTTTAAATCGTTCACTGTAATTTTAACCAAACGATTCCTTATAGCGCTGCTAAAACTAGCTGTCGTTAAGTCTGAATGGTTTCTAGTTAATCTAAGTCACCACTAACATAATATTAGACATAACACACCTTGGCGCTAAGGTAAGGAGATTGACAAGAAACTCTCACTCTCCGCTAATCGTAACCAGTCAAACCCCGGCTAAAGTATTTAAAGAGTCTTGCATTTGTCTATTTGTTGTGTGGTAAAGCTACTGTTAATGATGTCTTATTTTAAAGAAAATGACGAACCGTCAAGGGTGCAGTTGTATTGCAGATATTTAACCTTTTAGCTAGCTTTTAAAGCCGTAAATCGGTGTTCTTTTGAACCCTATTAACCGATAAGGGTAACCCACTAAGCTCTTAATAAATTTTAATCTTCAAAGAATAAAATACTAGAGGTAATATTGTTGAAAATAAATCCAACGAGAAGATAAATAAGTCATTGATGGTGATTAAGAAGTTAATTCATGGTAGTATTTGGTGTTTGATTTTAAGAAAGGACGATGACTTTGTTCGCTAATTGCAAAGAAAGCTTGACAAACTAATGGCAAGAAGCAGGCCTAAAAATGTAATTACACTTTGGCTGATAAAAAAACATCTAGCTTTTAACACCAGCAGCCATATTTGAAGAGAATTTATTGTTTATAAAACAACGATAGAATGTGTATAAAGAATTACGAGACAATAAAGCTAGAATAGATCGAAGTTTGAAATATGAAAAAAAAAAAAAAAAAAAAAAGTGAGGAAATCTTCAGATCATGGAAGTGAAACATATGGTCTCATGATATGCAAATGACCTCTGACTTGATACACGGTGCAACATTGCTTGCAATTATATATTTTTTCGCATAAATTACGAGGACATAACACCGACAAAATGAAATAAGGCGTTTAAATTGTTATGTTTCATGGTAATGTTGCACCGTATATCCGCACCAATTATTACGAAAAGAGCTTTTGGAAAATTATTTTTAATATCGGTAGAATATCATTAAACTGTACACAAATTCGATCTATTCTCCCAGCTTTAGCTATGCTTGAAAGATCTGTTGTGTTTTTTCGTATCAAAGAATTAGCGAAGTATGCTGGGATAAATCGAGAGATTTTCTAACTGGCCCACAGGAAGCCCGCGCGGGTTTTCTGGTTCTTTTCTTTGATACCGAGAAACCAATGGCAAACTGTACATCAATTATAAAGTTTGTAAAAGAGAAAAATCCGCAACGTTGTTGTAAACGATCAATGACGGAACCAGTTATTAGCAAGATTCTTGCCAAGCAAGAGTTAAAGTATGTGTGGTATCCATTCACATACCATACGAAAAAATACCATGGAAACGACTACCATGGAAACAGAATTCCCCGGATGTGGCGAAATGATCATTCGGAAATAAAAAGTACACAGACAATATCGAAATGGAAAAAGTGAAATAATCACTGGTTATGATGCAAGGCCAAAGCCATCCAACGTCATCTACATTCTCCTGGATTATTTATTAGATAAATTACCTGACTCGACTTTTAGTTCTAAGAATGTTAAGCGTAAATTAATGTTTTTGTAGGTGATTTCGGTTGCGTTACACGATTGTCACGCAATCTCGTGTTGCGCGCGACTGTATTGACGATTTGCGTGACAAAGCCGAAAGTCACATCTCAGAATATCTTACTATTCGCCGAACAAGGCGATATATCAAATCACTTCACAGTTAAGACTTACTAGGCCAAAGTTAAATACCAATTACGTGAAGCTTTCCTGCATTTGGGTGTTACCCCACCCTCTCGTTAAATGTGAATCAAGTTGTGTCATTAACAGAGCGCCCGAGTAAAGTTGCCCTTGACACGAGGCAACAACAGAAGCCCGAGTAAACTTGAATCGATTCTGTGTTTTCCTTGAACAAACCATCAGTAGATTTTTTGATGTATTTTCTTGTTTGGCGATTGATCGATATATGTATTTCAACTTAGATTCATAGTTTTAGCTCAAAGGCTATAAATTGAAATTTTAGGATTCGTTCAATTACTTTTTTCTCCTGGAAGCTGAATAATTTTGACTAACTCTAACTACATGTACCCAGAGCAAATCGTAAATCAGAACCTTTAACGACAAGGAAAGAAGCGAATTACGCACAGACTTAATTTTTTATGTTTTTATAATGCTTATCTGCGCAAGCAAACTGACATTATTTTGGACCCCACCACCAGATCCTCAGCATTTCTAAAATCGAGGATGTGAGGAAATTTTGACAGTCAAAATTAATCAGTATTTTCAGTGAGTCTTTGAATGAATACCAAATTTCTTTGTCCTGCATTAGTTATTTATACTAGAGTGATGGAACTTCACACGTGAAACAAATTATCATAGTCGAATCCACGGAAAGACTGCTTAATTTCATTGGTTTAGAACTATCACTCTAAGCATTAGATAAATAGTATTGTTAGACCTTAATTATAACGTTTTGAGTAGAACTACTATCAATATAGCGATATATCCATTAATGTTTCTCTGAACTGGATTGGTGCTTGACTGGCCGCTTTGTTGAAGGTAGGGCATTTTAGAGTTTTCCATATTAACACCTCGGATTGCTGGGTTTCAATCAGCTGAAGAAACTCTTTGAATCTCATTATCTGCTCTAAATGGTTGTCAAACACTGACCACCATATGCTGTCAGCCAAAAAAAATTCTAGTGAAAAGTTGTGATTCGGCTGCTGAACATTCTGCACGAGACAGAAAATGACATCAAATGAAATTGAAAAGTGAATATTTCGTGAAATACAAGTCGTTGATTGCAAACCCACGTGGTTGAAGTTACACCCACCATTAAACCGGTCAGTCAAGTCAAATCTGGTTTGACTAGAATAGATCAAAATATATTTTCGTAGACCCGTGATGGACCATAATATGACTCACAGGTGTTGGTAGGCAGATGCGCATGCGTAGTGAGCACCTGGATTTTGAACTGTTATTTCCAGTACTCTCCTCCAGCCACGGCGGAGGAGGCCTTGAACGAGCTGTTATGCTCTGTGAAGCCGAAATTTGCGGTCAATATTTTCCTGTTGTAGTTTTTCCAGACATGCACACGTGCATTATATTTAATAGAGAGTTGTAGACCCTGAATAAAAAGTTGTATTTTATTACAACGGCGTGTTCATCTTGTTGTTCATTTTTTAGTCATTTTCAAACTTTTTATGTTGTGTTATCGCTCGCGCGCTTCACCCTACCTCGTACCTGTGCGTGTGTTATTGTGGTTATTTATTTTGTTCTTGATTTTTTCGGCTAGAAATTTAGTTTGGAAACTCTTACATGGACATTTTGAATTGCGACTCAAAATTTTCACTTTATTTTTTCTATATTTATCGTTTCGAGCCTTTTTAAGTTGCCATGGTAACACTAAAAAATTTGGAATTTAGAACTTTCTACTTCAATTTGAAGCGAATTCCTTGACTGGGTTGGTGTGTCAGATGCTGATTGGTCGTTTATGTGATTACGTCATTACTGATCAACCAATCAGCATCGTGCATGGAGATCCATTTAATGGTAGCGAGTTAGGGTGCAAGTGAATGTATTTAAGTTTATTTTATTTTTTCCTATTTTTTTTCTTTCCTGAAATGTTTGGTTTTACCAGCCGTTTCAGTAAGCAAATGATAATCTGTATTTATGTTTTTCTTATGTCTTTTTTCCCCCTTCTTGTTTTGCTGTTGTGTTTAGTATATACCAAAGTCTATTCCATCTGATACCCTTTTTCCACTAGTCTTATCAGGATTTCTTTTCCCTTTAGCATTTCATTATCTATAAAATATTTTAAAATTTGGCTTCTGTCTAAATTATACATATTTAAAATTTGTTAGTCTTTTAACGTATTTCAAAGCCAACCAACCAAAGCAACCCATTTTCAACTGCGCATGCGTTTAGTAAAACATTACCTTATATGAGACGACCATTTGTCACGTGACAGATACAAGTGATATGATTGGCTCCTTCCCGCACCGGGGAAGTGGTATCGCGGGCTCAGATGACACCAGGCCCCAAGCGTATAATGTACCTCTTTCAATGAGCCCCTTGATTAGACTCAGGTAAGAGACACTTCGTTTTACCCTGTCCAAGACAACCTTATTTCTTCCTTTAATCTTGCCTTTCCCTTCTTCATCACGTTTCAATTCTTTCAGTTTATCTTTTACGTAGTCGTACTTCTTTTAAGTCTTGTTCGTTTAACCACTCCGCCTTTTTTTGTATCCCACCGTGTTACCATCTTTTATAAGTAATAATAATCAAGATAAACGTTAATATGCACGAATTTAAACACGAGCACATTGTCTTTTCTTGACGCATTGATACAAGCAATTCTTTCAATAGCTCGGGCAGACTTAGCTGGCTTATGCAGTTGTCCAACAAAAACCAAAGCCAGTAATACAGCCCCCATTCGGTTTCGCGCGCATTTTGGATCGATTTTGGAAGGATGTATGTCTTGTATAAAATGCGCAGAAAGAATTTGTTTGAATCTTGCCAAGAATCTTGTCTGTTTATGGGGAAAATATAGAATAATTGCATGATAAATTCAAAGATGTACAAAACACTGTATAGAACGTTATTAACCTAAAAATAATAATTGTTCATGTTTAATTCTATTTTAGTGTTAATTATACACCGAGTTAAGATGGTAAAGTAATCTGTTCGTTAAGTGGACATGTTAGGTAAAAGACAGCAATTCTGTTGTACAGCTAGGTTATTTAATACACCTTCATGTAAAACCTCTATCTCTTTTGTAAGATCCGTAAAATCAATCACTGATTCACTTTAAAATAACAAAGCTAATCTTAAAGAATTGCTAATACTTATGACATATTCAATATATATATATATAAATAGATATAGATAGATATCTATATCTATATCTATATTAGTTATTAGTAGAACATATAAGATACATGTGACCATTTATAGAGTATATGATAATTATAGTTAATGTTTGTTTGTCATTTACTGCACTTCTAAACAGTAGCTTTACGACACTTCCATGAGGGTGAAGAAATGAGCCATACTTTACACGACATTTGTTAAAATATTACGCATTTTCTTATGATTTTTTGTTTATTGGTATGCACTCTCTTGCGCGCTCTCCTTTACGCTATCCATATGCTCTTTGTAAAGATGATTACTTTCCTTTAGACATTGTAGTTATCTGTTGTAGTAGCTCTCAGGCGTAGAGCGTGAACATGCGTGATGCGCGTAGCGATGCGCGTAGCCGTGCGTAATGCGTGTCCGTGATGCGCGTAGTCGTAAGTGTTGTGCGTGCGTAATGTGCGTAGATGTCCATGATGCGCGTAGTTATTCGTGATGCGCGTAATTGTGCGTGATGCGCGTAGTTGTGCGTGATGCGCGTACTCGTGCGTGATGCGCGTAGTGTGTGACGCGCAGTGATATGTTTGGTGTCGTGGACATGCGTGATGTTAAGTGAAGACAAGTGTGATGTGATTGGACATGCGTGATGCGTGATGACAAATGAGAAGTGCGTAAAGAAAACTTTAATTTGTGTGGTGCGCATCGTGCGCCTAGCCGTTTGTCATGAGTGATAATAAATTTGGTGTACGTGGACAGATGCGATATGTAGCCGTGTGAAAACACTTGAGAACTGTGGCCGCTCAGACTGATTGGTTCAAATCAATAGAAAGCGCTCTCGTAATCGTTTGTTGTTTTTGGTTGATAGTGAAGCGTATTGTTTATTGATGAGTAAAATGTTGATTTAAACGTTTTGCTTTTGCAAGGTTTTAGTCTTCGTGTGATAAATGAGGTCTTAATGAATATCAATAGGAATTACTCCTAGTGCAAAAACCAATTTTGCAAAGCGAAGCCCCAGAGCGAAGCATTCGAGACCCTTAACGCATGGGGCGTGAAGCGCGCAGATGTGTAGCATGTGAGCAATTTGATGTGAGAGAAAATGTTTGGCTATGACTTAAGAATGCATTCATTTTGGCGAGCCTCTTTGGGTGTCGGTGAGTTTTTAACGTTTGTTTAGGAGGAAGGGGATAGTTGATTGTGGCGGTAAGCCTTCTTTAAGGTCCTGGCATGATAACGAATAACCGTAAATAATTTGTGAAATGGAAGTTCATGCTCCTACCAGTATCTCTTCCCGTTCTTACGTTTGCAAGCACTCCACTTCTTCCATCTCCTCTTCTCCTTCCTCCTCATTCTCCTCCTCCTCATTCTCCTCCTTCGCCTTCTCCTCCTCCTTGTTAATCTTCTCCTCCTTCTCCTCCTTGTTCTCCTTCTCATTCTCCTCCTACTTGTTCTTCTCCTTCACCTTCTCCTTCTCCTTGTTCTTCTCCTCCTCCTTGTTCACCTCCTCCTCTTCCTCCTCCTTGTTCTCCTTCTCCCTGTTCTGCTCCTCCACTTCCACCACCACCACCACCACCTCCTCCTTGTTCATCTCCTTGTTCTCCTTCTCCTTCTCCTCCTCCTCCTCCTCCTCCTCCTTGTTCATCTTCTCCTTGTTCTCCTTCTCCACTTCCACCTCCACTTCCACCTCTTCGTCCACTTCCACCTCGTCCTTCGCCTCCTATTTCTTCTTGCACCACCACATCATCTTATTTCCCCTTGATAGTTACATGGTAATCAAAACTCTCCTAGCAAGGTAACATTAATCCTAAATCCGCACGAAACTAAACTTGCTCATTCTTACCAGTCTACTAACAGTCTTTATTCTTTCAGTCCCAACAGAACTGGTGCGAACGAGTAGTATCGGTCCGATTGCCACAGCTACGTACGCACGCCACTTGTTTCATCCTTATGCTCGCTAGATTGACTGGCTGGTCTTCCATCTGGTTCTTTATTTAGCTGCTACAGTAGTCAAACTACAGACCATGCCAGCAGCAAACATTGACGAGCCTCAGAGGTAAACACACAGCCAGACTGGAAGCTTCATACAAAGAATCTAACAAAAGAAAAATGTACAAATGCAACTATTTTCCAAACTGAAAAAAAACCCCAAAACATTTCAATGACATTTTGTGGAGATATTTCACTCAAGATGGATTTGCACTCAAATGGCTTCCTCGAAATCGATGTAGGTCATTTGTGATTGGTCCAAGACCCGATATTCACGTGACTCAAACGGTGAAAGATATTTTAGAATGTGTGATAAGAAGTCACGGTAATTGCACTAAAATTGTAGTTAGAAAATAGTGAAAGTATTGTGTTTTAGTTTTCGTACGGCTCGTAACAAGCGTTCAATAAGGTAATATTTTAAGTCATTAATGTATCATAAAATTGTGTTTAGGAAACGAAAGGAAAATCGCGTAGAAAACGCAACCCAATTCCACCATATTTTGTCTCGTGTGCTTAGCTTGCACGAGTTTGAAAAATTCAATACAACGACAGAGGAGTATTAGTGAGGCCCCTAAGAACCCAAACGCCACGTCTAAAAACATCTTTTAACATTTTCATTTGAATCCATCGCGATATTGTAATTTTTCCGCATCGTTACCACAAACCAAAATCCATCTCCCCTCGTTTGTGGTTTTTTTATTCTATTTTTTAGTCATTTAAAAATAACCAATTTTTCGACATCTTTTTGATGGAGAATTTTCAAGCGCATTTGGTTTTAGTTTGTTTTTACGACTTTTCCCATTAACATCCTTTTCATCCAAAGTTTTGCGAACCTGAAATACTGAGTTGTCGATTCATTATCCAAACGTTTCAAGAATTCGACAGATATTCTAACCGTTGGCTACTTGATCCACCGGTTTTACAGGTTGCATCGCGTATATATCCATAAATAAAGGGCCCACTTTTATTCCTGATCAAATAATTCCATTATTCCATTTCTTTCGTTTCAAATTTGTCATGCATTTAGTCCATAAGCTTGAGAAACAAGTTGCAGCTTATCGTTGTCTTGCCACGCCAGCATCCTTGGATCTTGTGTATAAACGGAAAACGGAGCACTGTTGGAGAGAGGGGGTAGAGTGCGCACGCGCACCAGCCCGTTACTGAAAAATTACAACCACATTCTTAAGCTGCATCTTTTTTCTCAGGACGAAAGAAACACGAGTATAACAATCATATTGTAATTTCAGTCTTAGATTTTGAGCAATAAGTCGAATGGTTAGTAGATGTAGAAAATATTTGTATTACTGAGGATAGAATAAGTATTCTATATCTTGGACTTGACGGGTTACGAAAAGTACCCTTAGGAAATTTTTACGAAGTATATTTATTAGTAATGTTTGTTTACATTAAAATCTTGTTGTGTATTTGTACTCAGCGATGATTGGGTACATTCTATAGTATTTTTTGTACCCATGGTCTTCTCGGCGTTTATTGACCTTGTTATGGCGACGAGATCCTGGTAACGAGAATGTAACCCTCGATGGCTTGTGAGTGGACATACCACAGTATTTAACAAACTTAGTAGTTACTGTGTGGCGTGACTCCGACCTATTCTCCTACGCAGCCGCTATTCGGTGTCGTCACGAGTGAGCGCCATCTCGTACCCAGAGCCTGCGTTTCTTCTGGCCTGCGGCGAAGAACGAGGGCTTTGGCATAATCCATTTTTTGAGACCAGAATTTCTTGGACTTCCGGTATAAGAGCGTATACGTTAAAAGACTTGCCAAAAAAAAAAGTTCCCGATTTCTAATTCTTATTTTAATCGGAAGTAAACACGGAACTCTGTTTGAAAGCACGTTTGAAAGCATGATTTTCATTCATTATATTTCACTTCCGGAAAACTGCGCATGCGCCAAAAAATGAATTATGCCAGAGCCCTCGTTCTTCGCCGCAGGCCAAAAGAAAAGCAGGCTCTGTGTACGAGATTGGAGTGAGCGTGGCGTGACGACACAAATAGCGGCTGCGTAGGTGACTAACTCCAACAGGGATCACTTCGATAAACTAATATTATTACCCAATCATATTGCTTCATTTAGTTCAATATTTCTAACCGGCCAATCAGATAGCACATCGATATAATAAGAGCATGAGAACGTGATAATCTGATTGGATAACACTCTTATCAGTTCAATCTCTGTCTGGTTTACTGTTATCTGATTGGTCAGTTTTATTCAAGTGGTCCCGGTTAGTGTGACCGCGCAGTGAAAATTGGAGCTGCAGTTAAATTACAGTAAAGAATCAAAATTTGACAGCCATGCAGTTTACTGTGGTATTTTTAGGCACAAAGCCATAATGTTGCTAATAATCTAGTTTTTGCTTTGACTAAAATTTTTTGTACTTGGGCTTATTTTATTTTGTTTCATTAGACCAATTTTTGCATTATGTTTATTACGCGAAACACGCTTTTATTATCTTAGAGTGAAGGCATTAAACCCGTGAAATAAAAATTACTAGTCAACATGTAATAGTCAAATAGACACAAAAGAAAACAATGGAATTAGGGTCTACTAAAGTGTATTAGTCTAATATCTATTTCACGGGTTTAATGACTTCACTCTAAGCAAAGCGTAATTAATTTCGTATACTAAAGGATTGTAAAACTTTTAGCGGAGTAAAAAATTAAAATCACTCCGTTTTGACTCTTTCAGGATTAAATTTTTCCCTCAAAACTTCTGCCAACATTTTGTGGCCTTTTACATTCCTTTCCATACGAATGAGAATTTGCGAATCTGAACTTTAGCTGTCTATATATATGCTAATTCTGGTTTGATTTGACCCAATACTCCCTTATATTATTCACATGTATCAATCAAAACGAAATATTTCCAGCATTTGTTTTTTTCTTCGATCAATAGATTTTATTCAATGACCAAATCGATGAGTGGAAATGAATTCGAAGGTTACTTAGAACCGACTTTATGGCGTAAGGCGCCGTTTAGTCACTCGGCATTGGTTTCGTTTTGAATTGTACATCCAAGATGTAGTACCAAGTGTTTCTTGTATTGCAGTAAAACCATTTGGAAAATAGCTCGCTTTTCGTAGGGGGAGGGGAGGGGTAAAAGGGATTCTGTTCTGTCGTTTTGCGATGGTAGCGTGGCCCTCGTTCCACGGGAAGGCCGACTAGGTGAACCAGAGTACCAAAACTACTGGTTTCTCTAAATCTTCAAAACTGGTTGTTCTTTCTCATGAAGTCAAAAACTGGTTTTCCAAAGCTGGTTCTTGAGTTGGTTCTTGATATCCAAAACTGGTTTGACCGGTATGCGATGATCTTTCCGCTTCAATCGTGCGGCCAGTCTTGACTTTGATCGTGACTTTGCGCGCCAATAGACCGCGTTTCTTCTGGCCTGCAGCGAAGAACGAGGGCTCTGGCATAATTTATTTTTTGGCGCATGCGCAATTTTCGAAAAAGAGATATATAACCGATCAAAATAATCAAATTAAAAATTAAATCAAAGCAAAAGATCATGGAAAAAACTAGAAATCGGGAAAATATTTTTGATTTTTGGCAAGTCTTTGAACGCATGCGCTCTTGCCCGGAAGTCCAAGAAATCCTGGTCTCAAAAAATGGATTATGCCAGAGCCCTCGTTCTTCGCTGCAGGCCAGAAGAAACTCAGGCTCTGGGCTGGCTCTGGGTACTTCTACGAGATTGTTTGCGCGCGCCGGTTCAAAAGCATTGCGCATGCACATGCATGAACAATTAATCACGAAGCTTCGAATTCAAAAACTACAAATAAGAATAAACTTCTCTCTTTGTTAAACTCTCGCTTTATCATCAATAAATAAATAATTCTTTTCTCTTTCAGTGGAAAAATAAAATGATGAGTAAACAGTTTTTGGGTTCCCTGTGGTTATGCTGGTCAGTAAGCATGACGTCATAACTATACAAGGCACATTGCACCACCATTTTCACTTATTTGTAATTTTTCTACTCCTTCTTATCCCAAATTTTCTTGATAACTCCTTTAGTCTGCACCTAGTACTCCTAAAGACAAGAACTTCAAACCCTAGTCTTACGAACAGTTTGTCTTTATTCGCTCTAGAACCTAAAAGAAATATTTTTTCACGTCGTTTAAAAACCCAAGCTTTAATTTATATTTTTCGCAAGTGTACATACTATTTGTAATATAAAGTTTAGATACAGAATTAAGTCAAAATATGGATCAAGGAGAAACAGTGGTACTCAATGCTGCAGGAATTCAACGAAGTCCTTGGGGGAAGACGCCTTCAGTAGCTCCTTGTTCGCTGTCTTCGGTTATTGACGAAGAAATGGCGAGGGATTTGCAGCAGAAAGAAGAAGACTTGGCTTTAAAACACAGTCTCGCTGTAGAACTTCCAGTGGCTGGTAAGAAATTAGGAATTGCTATGTTATTAACAGCCTTAGACTAATCTCTACTATGACCATTTTATCTTCAAAAATTTATATATTAATATTTTAAGTTTTAATTTGCTAACCCCCTTAATTTTGAAATATTTCCTCCCACACTTCCACCAATTCTAAGATTTTAGTTTCCACTATCATTATTGTTATTTTTAAAATTAGGAGCAAGTGGTTCTGATGTCGAGAACGATTTATTGCTGGCTCAGATGCTTCAGAATGAATTTGATAAAGAGAACGATCATTATGTTAATATCTGTGAACAGAAGTACAATGGAAATAGCAAAGGTAAGCAAGTCCTTATGACATAACAGTGACTGGTACTTTTCTCTCATCCTTCAAAGATCTCTATTTTATGGGCTGGAACAACAAGGATACCCAGTTTTGATGACTGATTTTGCACTTTATATATGTTTACAATCAATCTATATTCATATGATTGAAACAATGTCATTATCAGTGCTACCACTGTCATCAATATTGTTATCACCACCACTATTTTAGTCAACTCATGTTGGCCGACAATCTTCCGATTGACAGCCAACACAGGGCCAATACTTGACCAAAATTTGGCTGACGCATCACGAACACTTCACACTCACTCCCCATGTATTTGCAACATATTTCCATTCAAAGAGTAAATCATTCAGTTGTATTTACATCAAACTGTTTTTCTTTTTTATAAATAGTTTCATTGAGCTTCGACAATTACCGCAGTGTTCATGCACAGCTGAAAGATGATTCTAGTTCTTCTGATGAGCAGGAAGCATTTGAAGATGATTTAGGTAAGACTTACTATAAGAGTAAGACTTACTATATTACCGCTCAAACAGAATATTGAAACTTGGCTATTAGAATTTCGCATGTTGGGTGTTATGGAGGGAGGTAAACAGGAGAATCCATAGGAAAACCCTCAAGTCAAGGGACAGAGGAGAGACCTAACAAGCTTTATTGAAAATGATATGATGCAGAAATTATACTAGAGACCTCATAGTGGGAGGCGAGTGAACTTCTGCTATTGGTCACCCTGGATTCCATAATACTTCTTTAGCTAATACTTGCTAGTGCTTCTTGATATCTAATGGCTGGTGTAATTTTGTTACCATTGCTTTTTATGTTGATTAGATACACCACCGCCACCTGACCCTGACAAGAGTAAGATAAGCGTTAAACCAAAAGGAACCAAGAAGCAGATTGCTACCAAACATGACGCTATGGTTTGTGGGAGAAAGAATGTTAGAAGCCTTGAAAAGGTAAAACATTACACTTTAACACACACTACTTAAGTAGATGTAAAATAAAACAAACAAAAAATGAA